GTGATTACTGATGACAGAATAGCCATAGATGTTCCTGAAAACGGATGTGTTGCTAACGACCAAGTGAGAGATCCTAGTGGAAGATGTGTTTCAAAGTTCTAAAGTACCGAAAAGTGTTTATGTTTCATTAACTTAAAATTTTAAAGACTTTCGATAGAACAATGATACTCTGACCTCCAATTCTACTTAATTGTTATTATTACTTTTTAATTTGAATTTTTCAACCATCAAAAATCAATTCTTAACTAAAAATCATCCTATCTAATACTTATACCTGTGTGTTCCAAAAGAAAACAGCGTCACAGAAGGCCTAGAAATAACATTTCGATTGTAGTTTTACTATATCTATATCAAGTAAAGTTTTAAAAAGCTGTTAAGTGTAAGAAATTGCAATGTATATGTTTTAAAACTATAATACAACCGAAAAAACGGCGTCAGGGTGACCTTTTTAATGAAAATCGATGATATATACTCTCTCGAACCGAACCTCTACATGTACTTTAAAAAAATCAAAAACTTGTTGGAATTTAGTAAAATAATGCAAAAAAAAACTAAAAAGTTTTCAAATATTTCAATTATTCACGCTTAAATTGACTAAAAGGTCTCTGTGACACTGTTTTTTTGATCATGCAGCATTTATATTTTTATATATTGTATTTTACGTACCTAATAATTCAAATAAACCAGCTGAAAATAACTAATATGCTAATTCTCTATGCCTACCGTGATATCATTTTTTACAAATATTTTCACAATTTTTCTATATCTATTTTCAAATGAATTTTGAGATTTGGCAAATGAATTTAATTAATTTGAGTTATATAGCCTTTATTTCAACCTTCAAAAATCAAAGTTTTACTATAAACCACCTTATTTAATAAAAAAATTAATATACCGTATGTTCGAAAAGAAAACGGTGTTACAGAAGGCGTAGAAATAACGTTTTATTTCTAGTTTTACTATACCTCTATCGGGTTAAGTTTTTAACTGTGCTTGTTCATAGTTTGAATGTCAGAAATTGCAAAATCCAAAAAAAGCGTTTTCTGTTTTTAAACTATAATAGGTCGTAAAAAAAGCGTTATGGTGGCTGTCGAAATTATACATATCTTCGTAATTTCTTTACAAACCGAGTCAAAAATGAAAAAAATATTTGGAAAAAAAACAGAAAATATGCCAATTATTCACAGTTATTGAAAATATCGTTTCAAAATAGATTGAAAGGCTACTGTGATACTGTTTTTTTTTCGATCATACAGTATTTATATTCTTAATCTTGTAATTAAAAAAACTCAGCTCAAAAAACTAAAATGTCATTTCTATGCCTACTCTGTGATATGAAATTTTTTACAAATATTTTCACAACTTTAAATAAACGAAATTTGAGATTTAGTAAATTCATACTACTCCGTTTTGCTAAAGTAAACAAAATAAAACCAATTATTTGATAATAATATGTTTCTGTTAATTTAAATTTATAATTATTATTCCCTCTCTCTGTATTTTGTTCCGTATCAACAAAGAGTGATAACCCTGTACATTTCTTGAACTAAGATGTTAAACTGATGATCTTATATGCGAACTAAGATCACCGAAATCACATTTTTTTTTGGTCTATGTTCAATGTAAGTAATTCAAGATATCCTAAAATGATTCTAAATATGATTTATAATAATATTTTACTATATTTTTTTAGAAAAATAAATGTTTTTAAACATCCTTGTTTTCATACTGTTTATTACTGTTTGTATGCATATATACAGGGTGATACGGTGTTTCTAAACTACCTTTTCATTTATTATTTGTGAGATTTTATATTATTTATCAAAAATCGCAAGCGATGTATTTTATTTTTAATTTTATTTGTTTTAAGTTTATTTTAATAAACCACTCGGTATACAGGACGGTTCGAATTGTATTCAGAAAACTTCGGCAGCATATTCTGCAAACAAAAATAGGCAAAATAGGTCGCATAAATATATGTCCTAAAATGCTTAGTTTCGGAGATACAGGGTGTAACAGTTTCGTTTTTATTTAGATTTTTTCCAAATAATTTCTGAACTACGGTCGATATTTGGATAGAAATTAGAGTCTGGGTGTTCTTCGACATGAGAAAATTGATTTTGATGTCAATATGACTCCTACTTGTATGTTTTTGAACTGTTTTGGAGAGTAATAACTTTTGATACCCTTGGAGAAATGAAGCCCTAAAATTTTGACTGCAATTTCACAAAATTGAAAATATTTCAAAAACGGTAAGGTTTAAGTGTAATAAACCTTTATAAAATTTACCTTTATTTTAATCGTAGAAACTAAAAATGTAATAATATACGGGGTGTTCCATTTAAAAAAATACAACTTTGATATTTTTTATTTATTTGGGACACTCTGTTTCTTGTATAAATATTCTTAAATTGTAGCTCTAATAGTCCTTCAACGAACCCAAAACTTAAATTTGTAAAAATCTAATCGTTTAGCTACAATACTCCGTGTCGTATGTGGTGAACAACCCTGTATTTATATTAAGGTCTCTTGGTAAAAATGAACACCCTGTAAATCTATGTAAATATATTTTTGTAAAAGTGCAAAATCTAAAAAAAAAAGAGATAGCTGGAGTCGTTTTAGGAACAACGAACCACCCTATATACTGTGATAGAATCAATTTAAAAAAAACACGAGTCTGGTGGTTTTTTAAACAACAAAATAACAATAATAGAATCAACTGGTATTTATAGGTAACAATTAGCAATTAAGATCTATGTAGGTAAAAATGTATTGTATTAAATTCTGGGTAACACTAAACCTGTATGTGTTACGTATATAGAAAAAAACTAAGATATAAATTTGCTTTTGTAGGATAATAAACCACTTGTTTTTTAATCCATTTGCATATAAATTACGATGATTATTAGTTAACAATACTGCCTTTGAGTATACCACAAAAAAAACAAATCTTGGAATTTTAATAATGAATCAGATATGTGATGTTATACAAGGTGTATAAGGATTACTAGGGACAAAACCGTATACAATTATTCTATATTGTATACGAATAGTATACATACGCCTATGTAAAATAAATTTAGAAATGACGGTAAAGTGTTCTTAATAAGAAAAAAATGATACAATATTCACATTATGGAATACTTACAAGAAAATACAATACATACATACAAGAAAAAATCTGAAAATCGCCAAAAAATCAGAAACAAATATTTTTAAATACTTTTATTCGCGTTGGATTAGATCAACTGAAAACAAAGACAATTTTCATGCCAGAAGCAAAGACAATAATCAATTAAAATACTCTTATCTAGCTTATTTTAATAATATTGTTTTTATACAAAAATGCATTTTTTTAACTAATATATTTTTAGTAATTTTTTAGTTAATTGAGGGCATTAATACAGGGCATTTAAACTCACGGTCCATATAATAAAAACCAAACTAAACAAAAACTTCATTCGTTTTTTTTATACAAATAACTGTGGAGTAACAGTTTCTGTTTTCCCTGTTCAATGATAACAAATTCGACTTCCATTCTACGTGTTTATGCTGGATGATGATAGGCAAAATAAATAAAATTTTCCAAAAATTGGTAGGGATGACAATGCCAATAGCTTGACAATGATAATGAGATGAAAATTATTGTATTTTTCGGGCAAGTTTTTGGTTCGCTAAAATGTTCTTAGAGAAATTATGATTTCGGGAAATTTTCCATCAGGGCAATTTTCGTTTCGTTGTTTTGCTTTCGATCAAAATTTTCCTTTTATTCGGCCATTTATTCTCGGACAATCTATTGCATACCCGATACAGCTATGTGCAGAGTCTAGCTCATTCTAACAATGGTTTTTGGAAAAAAAATAGACTCTAAAATCACACTGTAAAAGAGAGCTGCTACCATGATAGAAGTTTTATTTTGTCCCAAGCAACCGTCAGAAAATAATTAGGTAGAATGGTGTGATTTTCTCTCGCGTGCATTTTCATAACTTAAAACAAAAGGACCTATCTCAAATTCCATCTTTCTTGTAGTAATAACAATTGGTATAACAATAATTGATATAACAAAGAGCCCTATCTCAACATACGTCTCTTCGTTATAACGAAGAATTGTAGTATTTGAGATGGGGCAAATTTTTAAACTAATATAAAATGAAAAAGGTACAATATTGAGATGCGCAAATTCGCTATGTTAAAATATGATCCATTGGGCATGTCATGACGTTGATATCTCAAAATCGCCAAAAATCGAGAATATATACTAAAGCCGCGACGATATATACTATAAAAATATCTATTTTTCATTGTTTTTTTTTTCTCATGTTATACACTATTGTGAACTTAAAATATTCCTTTATTAAATTTGATTGACAAAAAATGAGAGATAAACATTTATTGACTGGTATGATTTTTCCCGTATTCTATTAAAACTATTTTTATATACTATAATATTTTTAAAAACTCGGAAAGAGATTTTAAAACTTCGAAATATATCTGCTGAGTGAAAAAAGATCCACAATTTGAACTTTTATCGGGTAATTATCAACGCTGCTAAATATAGTTAAGCCTCCAGTTGGTGACGTCACGAGATTTTTACGTCACAGCTGTTCGGCCTTGTTATTACGGTGGTTACGGTGAAACTCCCCCTACTAAAAAACGTACCACCCTGTATATTTAAACGCATTCCATAAATTCATTAACCGTAAATATTTCAAATACAAATATGACTAACCAGAATTTTAAAACAAACAAATTTGTGAATTATTTAAAATGCATTTAAATGCAATTACAAAAACGATAATGGTTAAATGCATTAATATTGAAAAAAAAATAGTTTCCTCGTATAATTACCAAAATATTTAAAGCAAATCAGCTTTATGAAATTCAAAGAATTCTTGAAGTACTTTCACTATATATTTTCAAGTATCATTCATATAATTATTCATGTCATTCTACTTCAGATATACTCCAAAAAAATTGTTAAAAATTAAATTAAACACAAGTTTTTTTTATAAAACAATTGTATATTTGGCTTTTAACAATACAATAGTAAAATGACAAGTCACTGGCTTTACTTTTATAAATATAATACATTTTTTCCTAACAATTTCATACAATAAACTTTGTATAAGAAAAAAATACTGAATCACAGTGGTCTGTGTAAAAAGCTTTGTTCAGTATCACATGAAGGCTATTGTCTGTCATTTTCGACTCCTGGAATGAATAAAATATGATTTAAAACCTAGATTTACAAAAAAATTCAATCCCTCTTAGTTGATTTAGCTTTCTTCTTCTTACTTGGGCTGGATACACTGGAATTTCCAGGAAATAAGAATAGCAATATTAACTGGATCAGGGACAATACAAAACCAATAAAATTTTGCAACTAAAACAATAAAAAAAGGTATTTTAGCTCAGTCTAACATTGTTTTCTTTAATTTTTCTTACAATCATGAAGTTATTTAGTAGAATCACACCATATAGCAACCACAAAAACGTTACAAGAGTTGCCATAAAAGTCAGAGGAAATGGAATGCTTGAAGCATCTTTTTTTCTAATAATTTCTTTCTAAAAATCACACAAAAATAATACCAAACCATTCAAAATATTTTAGTTTTTTTTAAATTACCAGATCTATTAAAGGCGATCCGAGTAAAGCTAACATAAGCACCGTAAGAATCAGACCAAATCTGAACTCTAAATAGTCAGGGTGCTCGTATTCACAATAGCCCAAAAGAACGGCTGTTAAAGCAGCTCCAATTCCAGCAGGCTTCATAAATTCACCGACCTTATCCTCTGCGTATAGGTAGAAAAATACAGAATAGGCAAGATTCAAAACTATGGCCACTACATTCACAGTTATCATGGCACTGTCAGATAGAAGAAGTCCATACTTTAAATTTAAAACTGATCTAAAACCAATACCCTTATTTTTTATTCCGATATTGTTAATTGTTTAAGCACTTACATGGTCACACCTCCTATAAAAGGCATGGAACTTATGCCCTTTGTCGATTTTTTATTGTAGATATCTCTACATATAAATACACCAGAAAAGAACTGTAAAATAGTAACAATACTGGCAGTTTGAGCAACTAGATTCTTGTAGGGCTGAAGACTGTTCGATAAGGCTTCCATTGTATTTAAAAAAAAAGTTTAAACTACACTATGAACTAACTGTTTTAACTCTGGGCTATTATCTAATTAAAAATTATTATAACAGGATGTTTCACGACAGAGATTATACCAGATTATCTAAAGTAACGTGTACCATAAGCTAAAATAACATACTAAACGATTATATAAATAAAATTAATTATAAAAAATAAAATAAATCATTTACCGTGTCTGGAATTTTATATGACCGTGACAGTTTAAAATCAAATTCTGACGATACGGTTTAAATCATTACGTGGAATGACACCTTCTTTTTGTGGACTTGGCAATGAAGTGAAGTGTAAACAATATTTGATCTGATAAATTTCGCAATTAACACGTTAAAATACTAAACATAATCGTCTTTTATTTGGGACATACTTTCAAAAAAATAATAATTATTTTAAGGTTAATTCATCAAAATCTTCTTAACTTAATTTGTGGCAGAATGTCTTTGGTCTTGTAGCCAACTTCCTACATTTTCTAAGATGTTACTGTTCTGGCCGTATAGTCCTGGAAGCCTAGGCCGTAGTAAAACCACTCAAAAAAGAAGAAAGTTACTGTTCTTAACCCTAATTTCGGCCGGAGAGCCCTGGCAGCTGTGGCCATTAAACCAGTATACTACTACTTCCTAATTTTATATTTTATATTAATCTGTAGCGAGATAGACTGAAATGTCAAATGAATAAACAACAAAAGTGCTAAATTCAGTTATTTTTACGCTCTTTTTCATAGTAAAAACCGCAAAATGTCTAAGCCCAGTACATCTAGCAGCGACAGCCAAACACAAATAGCCCAGAAAACTTGGGAGATGGCTAATAACGTAGAAATCGTAAATTCAGTCGACGAAATTTACAAGTACGACAAAAAACAGCAACAAGACATCTTAACAGCCAAACCATGGGACAAAGAGTAATCATTTTTGTTTATTAACATTCTCCTGCATTAATTATATGTATTTCAGTCCACACTTCTTCAAAGACATCAAAATATCAGCCTTGGCCTTACTGAAAATGGTCATGCATGCTAGATCAGGAGGAACCCTCGAAGTTATGGGGCTCATTCTTGGAAAAGTCGATGGAAATACCATGTTTGTGATGGATTCTTTTGCTCTGCCTGTCGAAGGGACTGAAACCAGAGTTAACGCTCAAGCACAAGCTTATGAATACATGAGCTCTTACATTGAAGCAGCTAAAATGGTAGGTAGACAAGAAAATGCCATTGGTTGGTACCACAGTCATCCTGGATATGGTTGCTGGTTATCAGGAATCGATGTCAGTACTCAAATGTTGAATCAGAACTTCCAAGAACCTTTTGTAGCTATTGTTATTGATCCAGTAAGAACCATATCAGCTGGAAAAGTGTGTTTGGGGGCATTCAGGACTTATCCAAAGGTACTTACTAAAATACTATCGTTTATTTCTTGATAATTTTGTTATTTTAAGGGATATAAACCAGCAAATGAAGAACCATCAGAATACCAAACTATACCTCTTAATAAAATCGAAGATTTTGGTGTTCACTGTAAACAATATTACTCCCTGGAAGTGTCTTATTTTAAATCAGCCCTAGACAGAAGGTTACTTGATTCTCTATGGAATAAATACTGGGTGAACACTTTAAGCTCTTCCAGCTTGCTCACAAACGCTGATTACACTACAGGTCAAATTTTTGATTTGTCAGAGAAATTGGAACAGTCCGAAGCAGCTATAGGTAAATCTATTTATTTTTTTAATGAAATGTGTGTTAAATAATGTTTTTTAATAGGCCGTGGAGGGTTTATAGTAAGTGCCTCAGATCCAAACGAAAAAAGAACAGAAGACAAGCTTCTTAAAGCCACGAAAGACAGTTGCAAAACAACTATCGAGATTATCCATGGACTGATGGCTCAAATGATCAAAGACAGGCTTTTTAATAGTGTGACACCTAGTAGAACCCCCTGTGCAGACTCTACTAAGTAACTTTATTAATATATCGAGTATTTTAAGTTGTATTTCAAAATACTGTGTTATAATATTATCTGTAATAAATTTCTTATAACTAATAGCGTTTTTTTTATCAAATTAAAATAGCTCTAAAGCAACAAAGATTTATTAACAAATAATTGACCCAACAAGTTTAAACATAAACAATCCCTGAAAGAATAATATTTAAAATAGTAACTTACAGGGTAGATGAATGAAATAAATAAACTATAAAACAAAAATGATTTTGTGCATAAACAAAGTGACAAAAGTCATTTTATGTATGATATTTTGTTTCATAATAAAATAGATGTATATGTACTACAAACTAATAAGTTTTTTTATTGCAATCAGTTTAGTACATACCCTGTAAAAAGTTTTATAAGCCTAAAAATATATAGGAAGAGTTATTTTAAAAATACACTTATTTTTTACAGTTAATTATACTAAATTTTCACTTTTTTGTGTCTTGGACTAGATAAAAGTTATCTAAGCTAACTAGGAAGCTTATTTTTTGGTCTCACAATAAATTTGTTAACATAAACCATCTATTATATACAGAGTATTTTAAGTATGACCTAAAAATTATACTACCTACATAGAAATAAAAAAAAATATATATATTTCTTTTTGTACAGATAGATGCTTTCATAAATTTATGAAGAAGATATGTTCTATAATAACGCTCTATAAATTTTGATTTTAAAATTTTACCCGTGTATAACCGGAAAAAATTAGCGCCACAGTAACCTCTGAATTCAAAATCGATGATAATCTCTTTACGGACGATCTCTATAGTATGCTAAAAACGTAAAAAACTAGTTCCTAGACATATATATTCTCAAAAAATATTCTTTCCTGATTAAATTTATTTGCATGATAGTTTCAGATATATAAGATAAAGCCATAGACTCTAAAGAGACTATCAACAAATTATCATTTCAAAGTTCACTGTGACGACGTTTTTTTTACGATGGTATAATACATCTCTGATTGTACTTGAATTCATTTTGGACGTATATTCAAGAAATAATTAAAAAATATATTATTTTTATGTTGGCATAGCCAGAAAAAATATCATAAGAGACGAAAAATAAACAAATATAAATCTATAAGATGTACAGGGTGCTTCATAAGACTCGTATGAACCTACAGGTGTTTTAAAAACACCTTAGCATAGCATTTTAATTTTATCTTAGTGTATAACACACATCTAAAGCTGTTAAACTAGGAAACAAAAAATAAAATAATGTAAAATCTGTATTAAATATATAGGATGCTTCATAAGACTTATATGAACCTATAGGTGTTTCAAAAACACCATATACGTAGTGTTATTTTCCTACCTTACTGTACAACATGCATTTAAAGCTCTTAAACTAACTAGAACACTTAAAAAGACTGAATAACACTGTAAAGCTTAAGTTTTTTCAATGTTCTCAATTGAAATATCTGTTTTTTATAGCTACAAAAAGAAAAAAATATAAAAATTAGAAATAAACTGATAAAAAAATTGTTAAAAATATACAGGGTGGTTCATAAGACTTACAGGTATGTAAAAAACACCTTAAATAGCGTTTTTTTTCTTACCTTGCTGTACAACACACATTTAAAGCTTTTAAACTAACTTGAACACTTAAAAATACTGATTGGCATTGTAAAGCTTAAGTTTCATCAGTGTTATCACTGTTTTCTTCTTCATCATCAGCTTTAGATTTAAAAAACAACAAAGGGCACATACCCAGGCAACAACCTAGGGTCACGCCTAATACCCTGCCCAAATTCGCAGCCCTACGCGAGCAATGCATGTCCATCTGAATGGGGGACAATTTCGGGGGCGCAAAACCTATTCTGTTTGCTACTCTTTCAACATAAAACGCTGTACCTATACCTAGAATATCTGAAAGGGTGTTTCCTAAAGCTGCAGCGGCCATAGTTGTTAGACAGAGGTAGGAACCCAGGTATAAGTCAATATAATCACCCTAAAAATTTAATAAAATTATAAAAAAATGAGTTTTAATATTATATTAATGTACTTACGAAAATTAACATAAAAAAGTTATCTAAAAATCCAAAACCAACAAATGGAATTGCGTTAGCTATGGCAACTAGAAAAAACATATTTAGTACAGTTACTTTAGTACATTTTTATCAGAGAAAAAAGGAAATGTAGACGAGCTTTGTCACCTTATGGAATGTTACTCTATACTTACTTATTTCTCTGATATATTTTCATTAATAATTTTACTTACTATCAACTAGGTTTTTTGTAGTGGGTTTTGGCACTGATTCAGCTGAAAATAAATTAAAAAAATATATTGTTATGAAAAAATAAGAATTTCAAATAATTTTTCTTAATTAATAAGTAAATAAATATTTAGACAACAATAAACCATATAAAAATGAAATATTTTACTACAATGTCCCTAATATATTCCTTTTATTTACTTAAAACATTATTATGTAACCAAATAACATTTCTAGGGCAAATAACATAAAAGAACATTAAGCATAAGTCTAATAATACTAATCTTCATGCAACAATAAAATTTTAGTATATTAAACAACTTAAAATCTATACTTCTAAAGGTTTCTAACTAGTGTATTATAAGAACTAAACTATATGACTCAAGAGGGTTTCTTTATAAAAAAATAAAAATAGAAAAACCAAAAAAAAAATGCCTACCAACTTTCTTTATTAGCCAGTCTTCGGGGACAGGACAAAAAGTGCCTGTAGGATCTACATCGCCCAAAGTGGGCAGTTTCGAAGGCCTGCCAAACTTGCTTCTCCACCTCGAAGCCGCTAGCTGACCTTTAAATTAGTTCTAAGATGTAATAAAATAAAAGAGAAAATTAAAACACAAAATCAGACAGAATAGGATAGTGCAATGCTCAATATACACATCTAGGAAACCTCACACAGACTTGCAATGACACTGAGACATAAACTTACCTTCATATTCGTCTTTGACTAGTTTTGATCTATATTCATGCAATGCTGAGGTCAGAATGGTTCGTTCTTCATCGTTAAGTCTAAGAACTAGTTCTTGTGCTTGTAACTTTGTAAGACCCTGTGTCATGCTTGTTGTTTCAATGTGACCTGCTGTTCCATACAGTAAACTGTATATATGAAGTTGTCTTTTCGTCATGGAGTTATTGTATTTAGTAAAACTTGTTAGTTTGGTTCTTGGAATATAAGTAAATTTCAAGCTTCTAGTCCTTTTACTGACTAAAGTGTACATGACACGACCGGCACTGTTTAACGACATTTTAAACTGATGTTTTATAAACGTATCAATTTATTTTTTAAATCATACACTGTTCACACTTATATTTAGATTTTATAACAATAAAATTATACAACTTTGTACAGTCAGTGCCTTCTATTAAAAGATCAGCCTACGGGCGAGATTTATGACGTCACGCTACTTAGATATAACGGATTAATAAATATGTTGTAGAATACATGGAAAACATAATTATTCCTCAGATTTTTGGTTTGTATTTTAAAAATGATATATCTTGAAATATGATATAATGAACTAAATAAAATATACATAATATACAGTTAATAACTACAACATATATACCTATTTATAGTAATAAATACTTTGGCAAATAAACTATGAACCATACAAATGCAGCAAATGTTTTACAATGTACAAGTAATGTATAGGTACATAAGATAATGGGTAAATGTAAATATATTTTAAATTTTGGGGTTTGAAAATCGATCTAATTTCACAAAAACATTTAATATCTACTAATAGTGATGTATTATTATTTGCATTCACAAAATTTATATGTATATTTTGCAAGTATCAATGTTCGAAAAATTATATTTACAAATAATACAATATTATCTAAAAAAGGCGTCAGCGATGGTTATGAAATGAAGATCGCTGGCATTTTATATGTTAAATTATTCTAAAATTTTGATTTTCTTGGGATTTTAGGTTCGGAAAAAACGCTGATTAAGTTTTCATTTGGGTTTTCATTATTTTATTTGGTTTAAAAAAACGTTTTGGCTAACTATAGCCTTCACAGTGTTGTGTCATATGAGAAAATAGTGTCAAATATAATCCAAAAAATTACATATACAATATAATTCACACCTCATAATGTTTACTGCAATTAATAAACTAATATAAACTTATCAAAAGATGACCACATATTTTTTAAAATTATTATTCTTAACACTAAAATTATCTACATTGACTATGGAGTACGCAGTAAACATTATGTGCTTGGTGTGAATATTTTATATGCAATTTTTTGGATTATATTCGACACTATTTTTTTCATATGACACAACACTGATGGAGGCTATAATGTTAGCCGAACCGTTTTTTTTTAAACCAAATAAAAATAACGAAAAACCAAATGAAAAATCAATCAGCGTTTTTCCCGAACCTAAATTCCAAGAAAATCAAAAAATTTAGAATATTTAGAATCAAGGTTCAAGAATATCAAATTTTCCAAGATTGTAAAATTCTAGTTAATTATTTTATGTGTACAGTTATTTAGGGAATGTCACGATGTTCATTTCCAAGCCAACTAGACGCCGATTTTTTTCGATGATACGGTATAATTCTTACGTAAAATGTAAATAACATTAGACCAATTAAAACAAAGAAATATGAATTTCTTAGTATATTTTTGTAACACCTTTATTCTTAAAACTTAATTTTGTATTGCAAATATACCAATTTTATTGTTATTTTATTCATATTGTATTCAGCCATCACTTAAATATTTTATATTAATTTGGTATTATAAATAATCAACACTATTCAGTAAAATTACTGAACAAATATATGTTATGCTTTACATACATTATATTATCAAACAAAAAAACATTCTTCTTTTAAACTTTATCATTCTTGTCTTTACAAATTTTTTTTTTTTAATTTTGAACTCAAAATAATAATCTTTTTCATGATCTTTAATACACACATTCTTTATTTTTCCCTAGATCATAATACCTACTTACGTGTTTATCTTACGTGTTTGAATCTATCGAAGCTGAACCAACAACACTTGGAGTGGAGATTCCACAATATGAATAAAATAAACATAATTGTCCAGTTTTCTTTAATACCATCCTGGGAGAATATTATTTTAAATTTATTAAAGAGATTTTCAATAGAATTGTCTTGATTTATAACTCGTACCCACTTTTCTTGCTCTTCCGGATATTTTAAGCTGCCTAGTATAACTATCCTTTCCACCAAACCAAACACAACAAAGATGAGCCAAAGCACCAAAACACACTCCACTTAAGCTTTATTGATGAATTGTTAGAGTCTTAAAAACACACACAAAAATCACGATAAATAAAAAATTTATGCACTTTTAGGTTAAAGCACTTAACAAAACGTGTAATATTTCGTGTTTTTTTATGAGAAACAGAGTGACCATCATAGCGACCATATATCTGGTAGTACTTTATGTCACTTAAACACCAAAATAATTAGTTTTTTGCACTACAATAACAAATAATACTAAAAATCAACCGACAAAATATGAATACAGAATCTAACCCAATATCTAAGTATGTACAGCTGATGAAGTAAACAAAAGTCCGCCCGTAGGCTGATCTTTTAATAGAAGGCACTGGTACAGTTTTAAATTCTGATGACAAACGTCAGTTTGGCATATTGACATTTGACCACAGAATATTATTTTTGCAGTCGATATATATGCAACCAGTAATATAGTCGCCAATATTCCAAAAATTAAATTTATGAATAATTTATTTACGCTACAACAATTACAACATTAGTTAAGTTTAAAATAATATGTTTATTAAATATTTGATGAGAATAAATCTGGAGATTCGAAGTAAAACTTGAAGAAGCATGAAAAGTTGTAGAAAATTGTAAAGGTAGCTCATCAATGGTTTTTTAGATCTCTTTTTATGCGCTTTACGTTTATGAGCTAAGATAGAGCTAGCTCTTCGCTAAAGCTTTCTGTTAGTTTAAAATAACTGCTACAATAATTATCCCGTCTAGCGGACTACTAGAAACCACAGTAGAAACCAAATAATTGTAGAAACAGTAAAAACATTTTTTTACTTATGCAACTCTAAATACTTTTATGATTGTTGTCGGCTTCCAAATCTGACAACCAGCCAACATCATCAGTCACGTGACTGCATCTCTGGCTACGTGTACGACGTGTACATCAAAAATTCTTTCAAAGTACCGTAAAATTTGTGGGTTGGAGTCACTTTTCCTGGGGACCTGATCGTAAAAGTGGTACACCTAATTTTAGTCGAGATTTAGTGTAATTTTAGTTAAATATAAGGCCCATTCATCATGGGGAGTAAGTATTCCACCCTTTTCTCTTACTATTTTCGCTTTAAATTACCCTAAACAGCGGTGCTGTTGGAAAATATATTTTTCGAATTTTTTATTTGCCTACGTGTTACGAACGCATTTTGGCTCGATCCGATTTACTAATTAGATGTTTTCTCGTTTGTTTCAGTAAAATTTCTAGAGGTTATTAAACCTTTTTGTAGTATTCTTCCAGAAATAGGCAAGCCAGAAAGGAAGGTAAGTTCTACTTTTTATATCTTTGATATTTTCGTATTTTAAGTCTGGAATACTTTCAAAACTTACACAAAAACATTCAAGAAACCTTTTTTAATTAACCAGATTAAGCATTTGCTAGAAAAACGCATTTTTTCAGTTATATTTTTGAAACAGCTGTTATATCATGACATCTCAAGATTTTTTCACTTTATTTCAGATTCAGTTCAGAGAAAAAGTACTATGGACCGCTATTACATTATTTATTTTCTTAGTATGTTGTCAGGTAAGGTTTAAAACCATTAATTTTTCATGCATTTTCGAATAATTCAATTCAAATTTTTTAGATTCCTTTATTCGGAATCATGAGTTCAGATTCAGCAGATCCATTTTACTGGATCCGTGTTATCCTGGCTTCTAACAGAGGAACGCTTATGGAACTTGGTATTTCCCCCATTGTAACTTCCGGATTGATTATGCAGCTTTTAGCTGGAGCAAAGATTATTGAAGTTGGTGACACCCCTAAAGACCGAGCCTTGTTTAATGGTGCCCAAAAATGTGAGTTTTCTGTCTTGTTTATTGTATTTTTATTAATATTTATGTTTTTTTTATAGTATTCGGCATGGTTATCACTGTCGGTCAGGCAATAGTCTATGTAATGACTGGAATGTATGGAGACCCTGCAGAAATCGGTGCTGGAGTGTGCCTGTTGATTATTATCCAGCTTTTTGTAGCTGGTTTAATAGTGCTTCTCCTTGATGAACTTCTCCAAAAAGGATATGGGCTGGGATCTGGAATTTCTCTGTTCATTGCCACAAATATTTGTGAAACAATTATATGGAAGGCTTTCTCACCAGCGACAGTTAACACAGGAAGAGGCACAGAATTCGAAGGAGCTGTAATAGCATTGTTCCACCTTCTGACAACAAGACAGGACAAAATTAGGGCTCTTAGAGAAGCTTTCTACCGACAAAACTTGCCCAACTTGATGAACCTTCTTGCTACAGTTTTGGTGTTCGCTATAGTGATATACTTCCAAGGATTTAGGGTGGATTTGCCAATCAAAAGCGCTAGATACAGGGGGCAGTATTCTAGCTACCCTATCAAGCTGTTTTATACATCAAATATACCAATTATTCTTCAGTCTGCGTTGGTGTCGAACTTGTACGTAATTTCACAGATGTTGGCTGTTAAATTTCAAGGAAATATCCTCATTAATTTGTTGGGAGTTTGGGCCGATGTTGGGGGTGGTGGGCCAGCTAGGTCTTACCCTATAGGAGGTCTGTGTTATTATCTATCACCTCCTGAGAGTGTCGGACATATATTGGAGGACCCTCTTCATGCTTTGTTATATATTATTTTCATGCTGGGATCTTGTGCGTTCTTCTCAAAAACCTGGATTGAAGTATCAGGAAGTTCAGCTAAAGACGTAGCCAAACAGCTGAAGGAACAACAAATGGTTATGCGAGGACACCGAGATAACTCAATGATTCACGAATTAAACAGATACATCCCCACTGCAGCGGCGTTTGGGGGGTTGTGTATTGGAGCCCTGTCAGTTTTAGCTGACTTTTTGGGTGCTATAGGGTCTGGTACGGGTATTTTACTGGCTGTCACGATCATATACCAGTATTTTGAGATATTTGTCAAGGAACAAAGCGAGATGGGTGGTATGGGAGCTCTTCTGTTTTAGTAAGTGACTCAAAGAGTGCTCAGTTTGTGTGTATGTACTGGGTGATCGAGAAAAAACTGTATTTGTCGTGGCTATGTCACGAAAGTTGTTAATATTAGGTGTGGAGTAACACAGAGTCGTCGCAATCGGGGGGTTTGGGCTATATTATGATATAGCCAAGTCTTCAATTTCATTGTATATTTACATGATTGTGTTGATAATATATTTGTAATTTATAAGAGTTTTTTTCGGTTTCGCATTTTTATTAATTTTTTTTACGTCATATATTGTCAGTCCTCATTAATATAGTAGGTACGGTTGTGTTGAGAGTTTATTTATTTTCGAGAATAAAGTCGAAAAATGTTTGATGACATTTTTTCTAAGAATAATAAAATTTGTGTGTTTTATTTTACCTTTTTTATACAGGGTTCGGCGCTCCTAGAACAAATAAATTGAGAATTTTGCTCGAGTATTTCAGGAAAATATTTTAACTTCTATAAGGTGACTCAAAAAAGTGTGAGTGGATGGGGATGTTTTATTTAAACGGAACACCCTGTATATTATCGTATTTTTGACTTCATTTCAGATCACTTTACATCTTAGATTAAGAGATATTAAGAAATAATTAAAAAATATATTTTTTTAAACCTTCCTTAAAAAATTATTACAAATACAAGAACTGTCTTGAAATATATCTTACTTTGCTATAAATATCGTAAGGAACGATATTTATAGCAAAAATCTTAATGAATGAAACACCCTGTATACAGGGTGGCGCACCTCATTCGCCTCGGTTGATTATACGAAAACGGAAAGATGGAGAAACAAAATATTTTATGGGTATATGTGGGGAGGTAATGTGCACAATTTAAAATTATTTTGAAATGTACAGGGTGTTTCAGAACTAAGATCCATACCAAAGTTATATTTTTTCTTATGGAACCCTGGAAAATAGTTACTAACCTTTGAAAATAGTTACTAACTGTCACTAGAAAATTGCCATGGCGACACCAGCCATCTTGATTGCGATTTTATTTAAAAATCGCTTTTTATTCAAAATCTGAGCTAGATAGGTATAGGAAACCCTAATATAGTTTGAAAGAACATTTGAATCTGCTTCGATTTGTTTAAAAAAATACAGGGCGTTGCGTTTGAAATAACGAAGTTTTTTTATAAAATGTATCCTTAAAATAGAGCAGCAACTTTTGATAGCCCTGTATAAATTTAAGGAACCAATACCATTTTTCAGTAAAGTTTATTTCTCTACCTTTAAACTCAGCATAAGAATTAATTCTGAAAAGTAATGTACAGGGTGTTAATAGTCTATTCTATTTGTAGCATGCGAATTTAAATATGTTTAAATATCTCAAAAACTAAAGATTTTAAACATATTTAACCCTTATAATAAATGCCTTTTTTTGGGCCCAAGAATCCAAAAATGAAATAAAATACCGGGTGTTCCATAAGAAAAAATATAACTTTGGTATGGATCTTAGTTCTGAAACACTCTGTATATCTCAAAATAATTTTAAATTGTGCACATTGTCTCCCCACATATACCCATAAAATATTTTGTTTCTACATCTTTCCGTTTTCGTATAATCAACCGAGGCGAATGAGGTGCGCCACACCCTGTATACATAATGACCATAGCAATTAGTTTATTAAATCACAATAAAAGAGCAATGCAAAAAAAAATACCAACACGCTTTAAAACTAATTTAAGTGTGATTATCTCTCTGATAAAATGATTCCCTGGAATTTTTTCACAAATTTCTTTATTTTTACTCATATTATTGCTGACCCTTGCGTTTGACCCATTATAATCACTATCTTCATTATGACGATAGTACAAGAATTATCTTGAAATGGTCTTAAACAAACAAATCAAGCCATGTGGCAATTAGCTAGCAAAACTTTTTCGAAATTTGTTCGAAAAAAGATCAGTAACATAGCTCGAAAGATTTTGAAATGTACAAAATTGCTGTGAGAGTGAAATGGTACCGAAAGGTGCAGCCTTTTGTTGAAAATGTGAGGTTTATGAGTGTGGCAAACATCAAACAGGAGGGACCCTTATTTCCTAGCAAAGATGAGTTTCCTAGCAGACACATAGGGCCTAGGGATAGTGATATTATCACTATGTTAGACACTATAGGATATAAGGTATTTTAAGAACATTTATAAGGGTACTATATCATAAATATTTTGTTAAGATTTGAAGGTGTGCATTTTTAAACGGTTTTATAAATCATTTTGGTAAAGAGTTTGAGTTTGAGCAGTGATGAGCATATGCAAGACAAGACCCACTTTACTAGAGGCATTTTCTACATAGAAAATCTTTAAATAAACAGTATTTTCGGTCATTTTCCCTAACAATGTCAACAACAATATTAGATTTTCTTGTAAAATAAATCATGGGTCGAAATATAAGTACTACCAATTAAAATTCTTGCATTTATTTATGAAACACCGTATATATCATGAATATTTATTTTTCTGAAATTACTACAAAAAAATCTAAACTCTTACGAACATTATGTGCGTTAAATAAATTTTAAAATTGCAAAACATTTTCTTTATCTAATGTATAAATAACAAAATAGGGAACAAATTCGTAACATTTCTGTTCTATAGAAATATAAGGCTTGTCAATATGTGACACAAATAAAAATCTATTTATTTATTTTCTTATGTATCATTCTTGTAGAGTCTAGATGAGCTTACTGACAAGGCAGTACCCAGAAATATATCTCTAAACAAACCTTTAGATATTGAAGAACCAGTAGGTTAGTATTAAATCAATAAAAACATGTATATCATCATATATAATTTATATATGATCATTATATAAAATGTCATTATAATGTATAAATAAAATAAATAAATAATTATCACATATAAAAATCATATATACTTAAATTATATATGATATCATATATAAATTATATATGATACCATATATAATTTATATACGATTATTATACATAAAATATTACATATGATAAAATAATACTAATTTATTGTTTTAAATTAAATTAAATATAATTCTAAATCATTATATTTAGGTGAATATGAGCTGATCAACAGAATACGTAAAATAGCCGAAAGAAACAAAATATGGAGGTCCTACATCGGTATGGGTTACCATAATTGTTGCGTACCTCACACTATCATGAGGAATATACTTGAAAATCCCGGTTGGACCACCCAGTATACACCTTACCAACCTGAGGTAGGGATTCCAAAGAAAACAACTCATAAATTTATCAAAAAAAAACATATTTTTCTTAATATATTACTTCGATAGTAGGGATGTTAAAATATATCGATTTTTCCTGAAATATCGATACATCGCCATAAATTAAAAATGTACGAATTATATTGAATCGTTTTTTAATTGTTATTTATCGAAATAGGTTGCCCAAGGACGTCTCGAAGGACTTCTAAACTACCAAACTATGGTAGCTGAGTTAACTGGCTTGGAAGTAGCTAATGCTTCGTTGTTAGATGAAGGTACAGCAGCTGCAGAAGCTTTGTCATTGTGTTTCAGGCAAAACAAACGAAGAAAATTGCTAGTATCGGATAAATTACATCCACAAACCATATCTGTTGTACAAACTAGGTAAAAAATAGTTTACTTAAGTTTTGTTTGTATCTACACTAACATTGATTTAATAAAAAGAGGGATTTTCAATCCTATTTACTGTTAAAACATTATTAATAACTCTCTGAAACAACTAAATTTTACAGAAAATATATAATATTTTATGTATTTTTTGAATATGTATATTTAAAAATAATATATTTAATCTGTTCTTTCATTTTTAGTATCTATAGTTTTTTACTATATTTAGAGCTTATGGAAATTTATATTTTTGTATTTTGTACAAATATGTACAATAATGTGTGTTTTCTTTTTTTTATTAACGACATTGCTAACATAAACATCAGTGGTAAAATATGTCTTTTTGCGGACGACACTAGCTTCACTTCACGAGCAACAAGGACGTCAAGGCACTTCATAGGATTATATCAAATTACTTAATCACCATTAAATCTTGGTGCGATTCGAACCTCCTGAGCCTCAACATTTCTAAAACTAAAAACGTCGTACTAACTTACTAAATATATTTTTGAATTTTTTTTTTTTTTAAATATTTTTGAATCTTATTTTTAATTTTTTATTCTTTGACATTGTAAACATTTATAAATGTTTATTTTAAACAATAAGACTGACAATGTAATTTGTATACTTGTTTTGTATTCCATTTTGTTTGTTTACTTTACCTTTGTCTACAAACTGTAAAATTTTTTGATAATAAAGGCATTTATTTTTTTGTACAGGTTGAGTTCTTTAGGACTGGAAGTTGAAGTGGTAGATGTCTTTCAATCCGATTTTTCGAATAGAGATATTGCTGGAGTACTGTTCCAGTACCCCGACACTGAAGGCAACGTCTTGGACTATAGTACTGTAGCTGACAATGCCCATTCTCATGGTAAATTACAGTATCAAAGGGTTCAATATTTTTTAACGAATAATAATGGAACAGTATTATTCAATTTTGTAGTAAAACTGAGAGTTCACCTTATTTAAAGATTGTACTCTTTTCAGGTACTTTGGTTTGCTGCGCTACAGATCTCCTCAGCTTAACTCTTCTACGACCTCCCAGTGAATTCGGAGCTGACATCGCCATAGGTACCTCACAAAGATTCGGTGTTCCTCTAGGCTACGGTGGACCTCACGCAGGGTTCTTTGCTTGCAATCAGTCCTTAGTACGTCTGATGCCTGGAAGAATGATCGGAGTCACCAGAGATGCAGCTGGAAGAGATGGTTATCGTCTAGCACTACAAACCAGGGAACAACACATTCGCAGAGACAAAGCTACCAGTAACATCTGCACAGCGCAGGCTCTGTTAGCTAACATGTCAGCTATGTTTGCTGTGTACCATGGACCGCAAGGATTGAAGGATATAGCAACGCAAGTCCATCATTATGCTTTGGTATGTAACCTTTTATCACCCTGAAACAATATTTCGTTATTTCCTTTCAGGGCCGTTCCTGGCGAGCGTGCAGTGCGTGCAGAAAGTTCGAAAGAAATCAGTACATGTATATTATTTCGTATATTTTTCATTTTATTGATTTTATGGAAAGCACTGTTCGTTAAAATGTTGTATCCTATGTTATAGGGCTTGTTTCTCTCCACAATTTTCTGTCTCACAATATACCGTTTGTGTCGGGGAAGGGATCATAGTTTCATAGTTGTCGATTTTCGAAAGAAATCAGTACATGTATATTATTTCGTATATTTTTCATTTTATTGATTTTATGGAAAGCACTATTCGTTAAAATGTTGTATCCTATGTTATAGGGCTTGTTTCTCTCTACAATTTCCTGTCTCACAATATACTGTTTGTGTCGGGGAAGGGATCATAGTTTCATAGTTGTCGATTTTCGAAAGAAATCAGTACATGTATATTATTTCGTATATTTTTCATTTTATTGATTTTATGGAAAGCACTGTTCGTTAAAATGTTGTATCCTATGGTATAGGGCTTGTTTCTCTCTACAATTTCCTGTCTCACAATATACCGTTTGTGTCGGGGAAGGGATCATAGTTTCATAGTTGTCGATTTTCGAAAGAAATCAGTACATGTATATTATATTTCGTATATTTTTCATTTTATTGATTTTATGGAAAGCACTGTTCGTTAAAATGTTGTATCCTATGTTATAGGGCTTGTTTCTCTACAATTTCCTGTCTCACAATATACCGTTTGTGTCGGGGAAGGGATCATAGTTTCATAGTTGTCGATTTTCGAAAGAAATCAGTACATGTATATTATATTTCGTATATTTTTCATTTTATTGATTTTATGGAAAGCACTGTTCGTTAAAATGTTGTATCCTATGTTATAGGGCTTGTTTCTCTCTACAATTTCCTGTCTCACAATATACCGTTTGTGTCGGGGAAGGGATCATAGTTTCATAGTTGTCGATTTTCGAAAGAAATCAGTACATGTATATTATATTTCGTATATTTTTCATTTTATTGATTTTATGGAAAGCACTGTTCGTTAAAATGTTGTATCCTATGTTATAGGGCTTGTTTCTCTCTACAATTTCCTGTCTCACAATATACCGTTTGTGTCGGGGAAGGGATCATAGTTTCATAGTTGTCGATTTTCGAAAGAAATCAGTACATGTATATTATTTCGTATATTTTTTCATTTTATTGATTTTATGGAAAGCACTGTTCGTTAAAATGTTGTATCCTATGTTATAGGGCTTGTTTCTCTCTACAATTTCCTGTCTCACAATATACCGTTTGTGTCGGGGAAGGGATCATAGTTTCATAGTTGTCGATTTTCGAAAGAAATCAGTACATGTATATTATTTCGTATATTTTTCATTTTATTGATTTTATGGAAAGCACTGTTCGTTAAAATGTTGTATCCTATGTTATAGGGCTTGTTTCTCTCTACAATTTCCTGTCTCACAATATACCGTTTGTGTCGGGGAAGGGATCATAGTTTCATAGTTGTCGATTTTCAAAAGAAATCAGTACATGTATATTATTTCGTATATTTTTCATTTTATTGATTTTATGGAAAGCACTGTTCGTTAAAATGTTGTATCCTATGTTATAGGGCTTGTTTCTCTCTACAATTTCCTGTCTCACAATATACCGTTTGTGTCGGGGAAGGGATCATAGTTTCATAGTTGTCGATTTTCGAAAGAAATCAGTACATGTATATTATTTCGTATATTTTTCATTTTATTGATTTTATGGAAAGCACTGTTCGTTAAAATGTTGTATCCTATGTTATAGGGCTTGTTTCTCTCTACAATTTCCTGTCTCACAATATACCGTTTGTGTCGGGGAAGGGATCATAGTTTCATAGTTGTCGATTTTCGAAAGAAATCAGTACATGTATATTATTTCGTATATTTTTCATTTTATTGATTTTATGGAAAGCACTGTTCGTTAAAATGTTGTATCCTATGTTATAGGGCTTGTTTCTCTCTGCAATTTCCTGTCTCACAATATACCGTTTGTGTCGGGGAAGGGATCATAGTTTCATAGTTGTCGATTTTCGAAAGAAATCAGTACATGTATATTATTTCGTATATTTTTCATTTTATTGATTTTATGGAAAGCACTGTTCGTTAAAATGTTGTATCCTATGTTATAGGGCTTGTTTCTCTCTACAATTTCCTGTCTCACAATATACCGTTTGTGTCGGGGAAAGGATCATAGTTTCATAGTTGTCGATTTTCGAAAGAAATCAGTACATGTATATTATTTCGTATATTTTTCATTTTATTGATTTTATGGAAAGCACTGTTCATTAAAATGTTGTATCCTATGTTATAGGGTCTGTTTCTCTCTACAATTTTCTGTCTCACAACATACCGTTTGTGTCGGGGAAGGGATCATAGTTTCATAGTTGTCGATTTTCGAAAGAAATCAGTACATGCATATTATTTCCGATTTTTAGTTTATTGTTTTTATGTATTTCATATAAAATGGGTCAGTTTTTTTCTTTAGGGTACTATTTTTCTTAATAAATATTTTTGTGGTTTTGTTTGTTTTCTTTATTTAATAAATGTTTTTATACTTTAATTAGAATAGTTTTTTTACATTTCCAATTACATATTGTCAGATACCGTCAGATACCCCAGGAACGGGCATGTTTCCTTTATTCTTAAGTTTTTTCTTTCTAATGTTTTTGTATTATTTTCCAGATATTGCACTTGGGATTACAAAGAGAGGGTAATACACTAACCAATGAAGTTTTCTTTGATACATTGAGAGTTTTTCCAAGACTCGAAATAGATGAAATCAAAAGTAGAGCATACGAAAAAGAAATCAACCTGAGATATTACGAAGATGATTCCATTGGTATCGCTTTAGATGAAACAGTAACCAGCAAAGATGTAGATGACTTATTTTATGTCTTGGGAAGTACACAGAGCGTTGAAAAACTTTTAGAAGACTCCAAAGTTCGTGATAAAGCTATTTATCGTACAGAATTCAAAAGAACTTCACCCTATTTAACTCATCCAGTCTTTAACTCACATCACTCCGAAACCAGGATAGTTAGATACATGAAAATTCTAGAAAACAAAGATATTTCATTGGTCCATTCGATGATACCTTTAGGTTCTTGTACGATGAAGCTAAACTCAACCACCGAAATGATGCCATGCTCCTTCAAACATTTCACTGACATACATCCTTTCGCACCACTTGACCAGTCTTTGGGTTATCACCAACTGTTTGCAGAGTTAGAGAAAGATCTCTGTGCCATTACTGGCTACGATAGGATCAGTTTTCAACCAAACAGCGGTGCCCAAGGAGAATTCGCTGGTCTCAGAGCGATTCAGTGCTACCACGAAGCAAAAGGCGACAAACACAGAGACGTCTGTCTTATACCGGTCAGTGCTCACGGTACCAATCCAGCAAGTGCTCAGATGGCTGGCATGAGAGTTGAACCGGTCAAAGTAAAAAGTGACGGAACAATTGATGTGGAAGACCTGAAATCTAAGGCAGAAAAATTCAGGAATAGACTGTCATGTTTGATGATAACCTACCCATCAACCAATGGTGTTTTCGAAGATACTGTGGCAGAAGTGTGTGATATAACTCACAAAAATGGCGGCCAAGTTTATCTTGACGGAGCTAACATGAATGCCCAGGTAGGGTTGTGTAGGCCTGGTGATTACGGTAGTGATGTATCTCATTTGAACCTACACAAAACTTTTTGTATCCCTCACGGTGGTGGGGGTCCAGGAATGGGTCCTATAGGAGTTAAAAACCATCTAGCACCATTCCTTCCTGGACATCCAGTTGTAAACCCTTTGGGTGCCAATTCTCCTTCCTATGGTGTAGTTAGTGCTGCTCCTTTTGGTTCTAGCGCAATTCTACCAATTTCTTGGGCTTATATTAAGATGATGGGACCTCGTGGTCTTAGAAAAGCCACACAGGTAGCTATTTTGAATGCTAACTATATGTCTAAAGTTCTGGAACCTTACTACCCAACTCTATTCAAGAGTGCATCATCCCAGTTAGCTGCGCATGAATTTATCATCGATATAAGAGAATTTAAGAAAACTGCCAACATTGAAGCAGCAGACATAGCAAAGAGACTAATGGATTACGGATTCCATGCTCCTACGATGTCGTGGCCTGTCCCAGGAACTTTGATGATCGAACCAACAGAATCAGAAGATAAACAGGAACTAGACAGGTTTTGTGATGCTCTGATCTCGATCAGACAGGAGATCAGAGATATTGAAGAAGGTAAATTGGATATAAGGATAAATCCTTTGAAGCTGGCGCCTCATACTCAGGAGCAAGTGATCAGTAGCACTTGGGAGAGGCCTTATACCAGGGAACAGGCTGCTTTTCCTGCACCTTTTGTGAAGCCAGAAGTGAAAGTGTGGCCTACTGTGGCTAGGATTGATGATATTTATGGAGATAAGCATTTGGTTTGTACGTGTCCTCCGATTTTGGATGAATATAACTATTAAGATGAAATAACTGTTTTAATTTATTAAGTTTTTTATGTTTGTTAACTCTTTTTTACTTCTATATGTGTAATAAAATAAATTGTGACAAAATAAAATATTTTTAACACGATTCCCTACAAATAAAAATGATTCCAGGGTTATTCAATCCATCTCTTTGGTATATCTTGCAAGAAGGATACCTCTAGGTTTTAAAAAATCCATATAGACAGTTATTTTGAATCCAAACTACATGTCTAAGACCAGATCTGATATTCTAAAAGTTAAAAAATGCTGAAATTCTGGATTATTGTATTCAGAATCAGAAATCAGAAAAATTCAGAAATAGACTGTCATGTTTGATGATAACCTACCCATCAACCAATGGTGTTTTCGAAGATACTGTGGCAGAAGTGTGTGACATAACCCACAAAAATGGCGGCCAAGTTTATCTTGACGGAGCTAACATGAATGCCCAGGTAGGGTTGTGTAGGCCTGGTGATTACGGTAGTGATGTATCTCACTTGAACCTACACAAAACTTTTTGTATCCCTCACGGTGGTGGGGGTCCAGGAATGGGTCCTATAGGAGTTAAAAACCATCTAGCACCATTCCTTCCTGGACATCCAGTTGTAAACCCTTTGGGTGCCAATTCTCCTTCCTATGGTGTAGTTAGTGCTGCTCCTTTTGGTTCTAGCGCAATTCTACCAATTTCTTGGGCTTATATTAAGATGATGGGACCTCGTGGACTTAGAAAAGCCACACAGGTAGCTATTTTAAATGCTAACTATATGTCTAAAGTTCTGGAACCTTACTACCCAACTCTATTCAAGAGTGCATCATCCCAGTTAGCTGCACATGAATTTATCATCGATATACGAGAATTTAAGAAAACTGCCATCATTGAAGCAGCAGATATAGCTAAAAGATTAATGGATTACGGATTCCATGCTCCTACGATGTCGTGGCCTGTCCCAGGAACTTTGATGATCGAACCAACAGAATCAGAAGATAAACAGGAACTAGACAGGTTTTGTGATGCTCTGATCTCGATCAGACAGGAGATCAGAGATATAGAAGAAGGTAAATTGGATATAAGGATAAATCCTTTGAAGCTGGCGCCTCATACTCAGGAGCAAGTGATCAGTAGCACTTGGGAAAGGCCTTATACCAGGGAACAGGCTGCTTTTCCTGCACCTTTTGTGAAGCCAGAAGTGAAAGTGTGGCCTACTGTGGCTAGGATCGATGATATTTATGGAGATAAGCATTTAGTCTGTACGTGTCCTCCGATTTTGGATGAATATAACTATTAAGATGAAATAACTGTTTTAATTTATTAAGTTTTTTATGTTTGTTAACTCTTTTTTACTTCTGTATGTGTAATAAAATAAATTGTGACAAAATAAAATATTTTTAACACGACTCCCTACAAATAAAAATGATTCCAGGGTTATTCTATCCATCTCTTTGGTATATATTGCAAGAATGATACCTCTAGGTTTTGAAAAATCCATATAGACAGTTATTTTGAATTCAAACTACTTGTCTAAGACCAGATCTGATATTCTAAAAGTTAAAAAATGCTGAAATTCTGGATTATTGTATTCAGAATCAGAAAAAAAATTCAGGTATATTGGATAGTGTATCTAATATAGTGTGTTTATCATCTCTTAGTGTCTTCAGCTTCTAGATTTTCCTTTGAAGCACTAGGACCATTAATTTTAACTTTTTCTTTTGATTCTTGTGTTTATTCTTTCTGTTTGTCTTCTAAAAGACTCTCGATGTCGTCGTTACGTGGTCTTGTGTCTTGAACTCTAAATAGACATTTGTTTTTGAGTGTATATTTATGAATAGTGCTTTAAGGTACCTAATTTGCTGGTACTCTTTTACTCCTTTTAGAGGTCAAAATCTTTTTGACAGAACCATAAAGAAAGCTAATAAAAGAAGCTTTTTAACTTTCTCTATGAATGGAACTAAGGCATTTTTATCAAGAAGATGAGTAAATAAGAGTCTAGATTGACATGGAACAAAGATGAAAGAAACATAACTAAACATTATAATAAAAATTTATGTTTACTCTTACAAAATAAAACAATATTTTCAACAAGATATTATTTATTATTGGGTAACATTTCTGTAAACAACATTATGTAAAGGAAAATATATTACTTAGCATTTTCATTGACCTGGGTTTTTACGTACAATAATAATATTTTCACTTCATCCATTTTGTCACCTTAGATTAATCTAGAAATCTTAAAATTGAGTTTTCGGAGGGAGTGGCAAGTTCTTCATTTCCTTTTTTCAATTACTTAGAAACTTTATTTTGATTTTTTTTATTGCATTCTCATGAGTAAATTAGTGCTTTTGAGATACGAAATAATCTAGAACATGTATTTTTAAAAATTATTCTAAATAAACTAGTAGAGCATGTTCACAAGTCGAAAAAACGTTACAGCAGTGTTTTCTTTCTTCAAAATCTTCAAGTCTTTTTCATTTTCTCCTGTGAGTCTATGATTGAATCAGGCTCTCATTATTTTTTGTACAATCCCAACTTTAATGCAACCTCTTTGTTTTGTCTGGAGCTCAGGTTGATTGGAAATGGATTAAATATATGACTGGAGGAGATTTTTCTTCATTGGGACTTTTTCGAAAAGACTGTTCCAAAAGACTTCTACTTAAATACGAACAAGGACTAGCTCTGTCAAAAGACTTCGACTCCTTATCACAGTGAATTTTAGATTGATTAGTTTCTGACTCGGCAGAATGTGTTTCTGGTGAGGAACCATCAGTATTTATACAGTTTGTGATTGGCAAGTCTAAGGAATGGACGCTTGGATTGGATATATCTTTAGGGAAACTATCTAAATCATCTGAATTTTGAATATCTTTTCCTGTAAGTCCAGGAAATTCTTCAAAATTCAAGAGATTACTACCTGAAGCTTCGTCACCCTCTTTATAAACCTCCACAATTGTTTCAACATTACCATTACTTTCTTCAAGCTTTAAAGAGTCCTTAATATTACTTTTTTTACTAGATATAGACTCTAGCAAACTAACATTCTCCTCTATAAGCTTCTTGGACTTTTCAGCACTTTCCTTAGCCTTGCTCACAGAGCAAATCCTCAAAAGATCCAAGTTTTCTTTAATAAGTTTATTAGAAATGCTGTCTTCAAGTTTCGAAGCAGATGTAATGGTTTCTTCAGAGTCTGTCTTAGCCCGAAGTGGGTCGAAGAAATTGATATCATCCTGGCATATTGGAGTTAAGATATCTTCGATATTCGACCCTACCGGTGTCTCTGACTTGCTTTCGTGAAGCCCCCCTAGTCTATTTTGTTTCAAATCTTTGTTTACTTGAGTTATTAAGTTGTTATAACGTTCATCCAAGTTCTTGCTCTTCTCCAAAATACTGTGGTACTTTGAAGTGTTTTGATTCTCTATCCAGGAGCTCACACTATCCATTTTTTCCTCTTTACTCACTTCTATGCCATTTTCTAAGGGACAATAACTGGATAATGATGAGGTAGGTTCAGTTATATCTTCTTCCAAAGCTATTGGAGGTGGAGAATACACCACAGAACTCTCAGCAAAAGCAAAAGGAGGTGGTGAAGGTGACAATCTCGACTGACATTGCATGATCCTATGCAAAATAAGCGAGTTTTCTTGTATTATTTGTAAAGCCTTCTCGCTGTTCCTTCTAGTGTTCAATCTGAGCTCTTCCTGCTTCAAACTCGACACTCTGTCAGTCAGGAAATGCTCAAATTCTGAGTTATCGTCTTCGGAATCAGAAGTAAACTTGAGGTTTATTGGAGAGGCACTCAGGCTATCTCTGTTGGCATCTTCAACTTCTAGATTGTCCTTTGAAGCACTAGGACCATTAATTTTAACTTTTTCTTTTGATTCTTGTGTTTATTCTTTCTGTTTGTCTTCTAAAAGACTCTCGATGTCGTCGTTACGTGGTCTTGTGTCTTGGACTCTAAATAGACATTTGTTTTTGAGTGTATATTTATGAAGAGTGCTTTAAGGTACCTAATTTGCTGGTACTATTTTACTCCTTTTAGATGTCAAAATCTTTTTGACAGAACCATAAAGAAAGCTAATAAAAGAAGCTTTTTAACTTTCTCTATGAATGGAACTAAGGCATTTTTATCCAGAAGATGAGTAAATAAGAGTCTAGATTGACATGGAACAAAGATGAAAGAAACAACTAAACATTATAATAAAAATTTATGTTTACTCTTACAAAATAAAACAATATTTTCAACAAGATATTATTTATTATTGGGTAACATTTCAGTAAACAACATTATGTAAAGGAAAATATATTACTTAGCATTTTCATTGACCTGGGTTTTTACGTACAATAATAATATTTTCACTTCATCCATTTTGTCACCTTAGATTAATCTAGAAATCTTAAAATTGAGTTTTCGGAGGGAGTGGCAAGTTCTTCATTTCCTTTTTTCAATTACTTAGAAACTTTATTTTGATTTTTTTATTGCATTCTCATGAGTAAATTAGTGCTTTTGAGATACGAAATAATCTAGAATACGTATTTTTAAAAATTATTCTAAATAAACTAGTAGAGCATGTTCAAAAGTCGAAAAAACGTTACAGCAGTGTTTTCTTTCTTCAAAATCTTCAAGTCTTTTTCATTTTCTCCTGTGAGTCTATGATTGAATTAGGCTCTCATTATTTTTTGTACAATCCCAACTTTAATGCAACCTCTTTGTTTTGTCTGGAGCTCAGGTTGATTGGAAATGGATTAAATATATGACTAGGAGATTTTTCTTCATTGGGACTTTTTCGAAAAGACTGTTCCAAAAGACTTCTACTTAAATACGAACAAGGACTAGCTCTGTCAAAAGACTTCGACTCCTTATCACAGTGAATTTTAGATTGATTAGTTTCTGACTCGGCAGAATGTGTTTCTGGTGAGGAACCACCAGTATTTAGACAGTTTCTGATTGGTAAGTCTAAGGAATGGACGCTTTGATTGGATATATCTTTAGGGAAACTATCTAAACCATCTGAATTTTGAATATCTTTTTCTGTAAGTCCAGGAAATTCTTCAAAATTTAAGAAATTACTACCTGAAGCTTCATCACCCTCTTTATCAACCTCCAAAATTGTTTCAACATTACCATTACTTTCTTCAAGCTTTAAAGAGTCCTTAATATTATTTTTTTCACTAGATATAGATTCTAGCAAACTAACATTCTCCTCTATAAGCTTCTTGGACTTTTCAGCACTTTCCTTAGCCTTGCTCACAGAGCAAATCCTCAAAAGATCCAAGTTTTCTTTAATAAGTTTATTAGAAATACTGTCTTCAAGTTTCGAAGCAGAAGTTATGGTTTCTTCAGAGTCTGTCTTAGCCCGAAGTGGATCGAAGAAATTGATATCATCCTGGCATATTGGAGTTAAGATATCTTCGATATTCGACCCTACAGGTGTCTCTGACTTGCTTTCGTGAAGCCCCCCTAGTCTATTTTGTTTCAAATCTTTGTTTACTTGAGTTATTAAGTTGTTATAACGTTCATCCAAGCTCTTGCTTTTCTCCAAAATACTGTGGTACCTTGAAGTGTTTTGATTCTCTATCCAGGAGCTTACACTATCCATTTTTTCCTCTTTACTCACTTCTATGCCATTCTCTAAGGGACAATAACTGGATAATGATGAGGTAGGTTCAGTTATATCTTCCTCCAAAGCTATTGGAGGTGGAGAATACACCACAGAACTCTCAGCAAAAGCAAAAGGAGGTGGTGAAGGTGACAATCTCGACTGACATTGCATGATTCTATGCAAAATAAGCGAATTTTCTTGTATTATTTGCAAGGCCTTCTCGCTGTTCCTTCTAGTGTTCAATCTGAGCTCTTCCTGCTTTAAACCCGAGACTCTATCAGCCAGAAAATGCTCAAACTCTGAATTATCATCTTCGGAATCAGAAGTAAACTTTACGTTTATAGGAGAGGCACTCAAACTATCTCTGTTGGTATCTTCAACTTCTAGATTGTCCTTTGAAGCACTGGCAACACTAATTTTAACTTGTTCCTTTGATTCTTTTGCCTGTTCTTCTTGTTCATCTTCTGAAGAGCTTTGAACATCATCGTCACACAGTTCTGTATCGCTTGAGCTCGAACTAGACGTCTGTTTTTGAGTGTCCTTCCATTGAATGGTACTTGGAGGAGCTTGTCTTGCCGGTGGTATACTTCCTTTTAGAGGTCCAGGTCTTTTTGATGGAACTAGAGCATTTTTACCAAGAAGAAGATGGTTCATAGCTATAGGAGTAGGTTGGGATGGTTGTCTTGATATAGCAGCGGAAAAAATAATATGAGCCTGCCGCTGTCTTTGTTTCAGCTTGACGTATTGTTTCTTCAAAGCACTTATGTCAAGAGGAATGGTTTTTGGGTATAGACTAACTTGTCTGTCGGTGTTTTGTGGTACTGAAGTTCCCCAAGGAGTGATGTTGTACAAATAGTGATCTCTCAGACTCTTTAGCTCGGTGAGAGGACCTACAGTGACGATGGCTTTGATCAAGGTATTGGCATCGATTAGGTTGGACTCTAGAAGTTCCCTTGTTAGGACTCCCATGAGGCAGTAGAATTCATCAGCTGTTCTGACTTCTAGGATTCTTTGGGCTAGGACCTGCCAAATTGCTAGGGCTGTACGTAGTAGTATTTCGTTTCCTTCAAGAAATATGAGGTCCCAGACGCGTAGAACTGTAGGTTGTGGCAGGCAATTACAGAATAATGTTAGGAACCTGAAAAGGAGATTATGTTTTGTAGCGAGATTTTTTTTAGAAAAATGCTATTTTAGAAAAATGCTAATGTATTCTACCGGGTGGTCCATTGAGAGAAAGTATAGAAACGAAATACTTACCATTGCATGGTAAAAACATTAGTTAATGGTGGTTCATAGCTTCTGGACCCATCCTTGGCTGCCGTTTGTAACAGGTCCAAATGCTTAGATAGTCTTGGCAGTTTGCTACGTAGCAATTCTCTAAACACAGCCATGTCAACTGACAGTCCGCGCAGACTGTCAGCAAAATAGGAATCTGGTAGTACGCCTTCTATTAGGTAGATCATCAACTTCAAGGCTTCGCTCTCACAACGATCTGTTACTTGAAGAAGTAAGGCTGCCAGCATGTTGAAGCCTTGGCAGTAGCCTGGAACAGAGATATTATACAGTATTGAGTAAAACTTTGCCAGTGAAAAGCCTGGGTAACGAAAAAAAAACAGCCATAGAGGTATAGATATTACAAAAGAATATTATTGATATAGAATAGGACTTACCAACTGCTTTATTCCATCTAGCGTAGGCTAAAAGGACTTTCTTGAGTAGGGCTTGATTCTCCTGGTTGTCCTTACCACAAAATAAGCTGCAGCCTGTCCTGTGAAGGTCCTTCACTATCTGAATGCCTAATTCACCGTCTTCAGGGTGTGACCATTCACTGAAGCATGATTTTTCGACTTCTGGCCAGTTCACCTAAGAAAAAGAAACAAAAACTATCATTATTATTAGGATTTTCAAACTGGGATTTTTTTCAATCATTTCAAACAAATTAAAAACGGATAAGTTCATAACTTATCCGTTTATGAGACACAGTTTCTATTAAAGATAAAATGACAATAATAACGTCAAAAATTATGAATATTAAGGTCTTTAGAGAATGACCCTAGGTATTATGTAACAAGAATGATAGGTAGGTTAGCACTTTTTAGTTCTGAGCATGAAATAAAGGAGTTATGAGGGAAATCCAGTGTTTTATTGTGAAAATATATCCAGTATTTTGACATCTACATTGCATAGCGTACTAGTTAGATGTTTATTTTGAATAGAGTATCTATTATTCCACCGTACTTACATTTCGTGATGCTAGGTGTCTTTCAGCCATGGTTAGCCACAATCTCCTTCTGAATTCTGGCGGTATTCCTCCCGGAAGTTGTGCCACCATTTTCATGGCGGCCACCCATTGGCTAAAGCCAGACTCACTAGGCGTAGGTCTTATTGTAAACTTCATATCTACACTATCAGAGGCACCTGAAATATATTCGATACCAGTTAAACTTTTAGTTACGCAATCGAGGGCGCGATTTTTAAATGCATTGTTGCCAGCCACGCAACTGACAATTACACTTCCCGCTGGGAATTTAGATGATAGCTCTGCTATTAAAAAGTCAAGTTGCCACATATATTTATTTATTTCCTGACATTGTCGTTCGTTTTGACATTTTGGTTTTGTATTACGAGTTTTTTTGGTTTAAATGGAGCTTAAAAATTTTTACTAGCAGACCTTGCAGTCACACAGTGTTCTTTTTAGAACCTCTTTTAGCGCGAAGTGTACAGGGTGGTTCAAATTCGACGCTTTTAAATGTAAACACCCTTTTCTATAGGAGATAGACAAAGACTAATATCGGTGTCTGGAGTTCAATTTTTGTCAAAAACATGATGGTGAAAACCGCATATCGATATCTGTTACCGTTTCGGAGTTACGGGGTGTTTTTCAAAAATATGCATTTTTAACAAATCGCTGTAACTTTTTTGCTATGGAAAATTTTGTATTTTTATGAAAATATTTCCAAAGCACCTTTTTACGTAGAATTTAATGGTTTAAGTATATTTTTTTTTTAAATTAATAATTTAAGAGTTATCAACAGAAAAATTGATTTTTTATTTGGGACACCCTCTATATTTTTAATTAACTGAAAAGAATTTAAAATTACCTTTCCAAAAATATACCACATTTGATATTTTGTTATAATCCCCTTCGAATTACAGAATTTTTAAAAGTTCGCCACTTTTAACTAGTAGGCTTTGGACCCCTTATTGATGATATGCCCCTAATGGAACTCGAACATATTTTTCCAGCAAGACGACGCAACGCACCGCCTCTGAACGCTGAAGTTGTCAGAAAATTTTTGCAGCCAATTTCAAGAATAATTGAATAGCTAACCAAGATCCCAGCCGTTGGCCGTCGAGGCCACCTGACTTAGTGCCCATGGATCTAATCCTATGGATATATTTGCGGAAGAATAAAGGTTCCTTATTATTCCGTATAATCTAGACAAGAATTAGAAAAACTTAGCAGTTATGAGAGGATATCTTTCACCCCCACTGAGTTAATGAATTCCGCGAGAAATATTCAAAAACTGCCCCGTGTGTCCATAACATAAGACGGTCGATATGTCGAACACCTGTAGCAAAATCTCATATCTTGGTTTGCTATTTATTTTTATTGTTATTAGATATAGTTTAAATGTGTTGATGTTGGTTAAATATATTTTAAATTGTTATAAAATTCTGCATCTCTCATAGCAAATATTATTTTCGTTTTAATTGATGCTCGCAACTAGAATTTTTTTGCATTACAGCCGGTGCCGTTCAAAGCTATATCTCGAAGAGGAATCGAGCAAAATATCAAATGTGTTATATTTTTGAAAAGGTAATTTTAAATTGTTTTCAAAAAATTAAAAATATACAGGGTGTCCCATATAAAAAATCAAATTTTCTGTTGATAATTCTTAAATTATTAATTTTAAAAAAATTATACTTAAACCATTAAATTCTACGTAAAAAGGTGCTTTGGAAATGGTTTCATACAAACACAATTTTTTCCATAGCAAACAAGTTACAGCGATTTGTTAAAAATGCATATTTTTGAAAAACACCCCGTTACTCCGAAACGGTAACAGATATCGATATACGGTTTTCACCATCATGTTTTTGACAAAAATTGAGCTCCATCCAGACACCCATATTAGTTTTCGTCTATCTCCTATAGAAAAGGGTGTTTCCATTTAAAAGCGTCGAATTTGACCCACCCTGTACATAAATAGTAAAATAGAATTATCAATGCAAGTACCGTATGACCGAAAAAAAAAGGTGTCAAAGGCGGCTGCGGAATGAAAATCGATGATAATTTTTTGCGAGATCAATCTACACTTGCCTGCATAGAAATCGGCCCAAGGCAAACTTTTGAAGTTAACTATATATTTTTTAGAATCTATTTGTCAGACTAAGAAAAAATACATGCTGTTTAAAAGACAATTTCACAGTCTTTGAAAAGAGTTTACAGATATTAATTTGTATTTTCGTTTCTTTGGATTAAAATTATTAAATTAATGCATGAAACAAATTATCGTTTTTTATTATTAAGAGGTATGTTATTATTTATTTATTTATTTATGGAGAATTAATTAAACTAAATTTTCAATAATGGGTATGACCCCCTCTTGCTCTAACAACATCTCTAATACGATTTGGCATAGATTCGATCAAATTTGATATTGTTTCTTGTGGGATGTTAAGCCACTCTTCCTCTACTGCAACAGTGAGCTCTGGGATAGAAGTTGGGGCTCTTCGTCTAGTACGAATTCTTCGTTTTAGCTCATCCCATAAATGTTCTATCGGGTTTACGTCTGGCCTGCATGCTGGCCATTCCATAACCCGAAATCCGACTTCTGAAATGTAATCGTGTACGATTCTTGATGTGTGTGCCCTCGCATAGTCATACATAAAAGTGAATTCGTTTCCAATGTAGTCGACCTAAGGTACCACATGAACTGCTAAAATCTCCTCAATATACCTAGCACCAGTTAAACCTCCTCTCCGGTGCCGACGGTCGCCCCAACGCATGAAAACTGGGTCGGTTCGCGCAGTCATAGAAATTGCATCCCAGATCATGCAGGAACCACCTCCATAAGCAATCCGCTCCTCATTGCAGCATTCTCCCAATCGCTCACCTGGCCTCCGGTACACTTTTCTTCTTTGGTCGCTACCATAGAGGCATATCCTGGTCTCATCTGAGAATAAAACAGATTACCATTGTTCTAGTGTCCAATTCAGATGATCCAGTGTAAAACGCAGGCATGCTTGACGATGAGCTGGGGTAAGTTTTGGAATAATTGCGGGTGTTTTGGGGGTAATGTTACTTTCCTTCAATCTTCGTCTTACTGTCCACTGACTAATAGTCACTCCTCGTGTTTCACGGAGCTGTTGTTGCACCTGAACAGCATTAACACGCCGATTTGTTAACATTGTTGACACAATAAAGCTCTTTCTACTAGTTCCAGGTCGACTACGAAAGGATCGAGTCTCCTCATACCGTTCATACACTCTTCGAACCGCTCCGCGTGTCATATGTAGTTGCCGAGCTACAGCTCCATATTTAAGTCCATTTTCGATTAAAGCGATTACTTGGGCGGCTTTTTCCGGTGATGTATGCATTAAATTGAAACACTAATCAAACAATGAAACACAACTAATCAAAGAATAAAAGAACAATGTGAAAATTTCGATTACAAAGGTAGTAATTGCAATATTTGACAAGTTTATTATTCTCATTGTCACCACAACCCAAATACCTTTTTTTACCTTTTTTTGTTTACCCATTGGTACGCATATAAACGATAAGTACCCTGGATAAATTTATGCTCATATTAAAGCACGTTAAATTGTCTTTGAAACAGCTCATATTTTTTACTTGCTCTGATAAATAGATTCTAAAAGACACAGTTAAAACCAAAAGTTCACAGTGGGCCGATTTCTATGCACGTAAGTTTATAATAATTAACATAAAACTTGTCAAAAATTAACACTAATTATAGAAAGATTAAACATTTTATTTTACACTTATGAGTTTACGATCATTCACCAATTTCTAAAATAATACAATTAAAATTAATAGAATATCCTAGGAACAGCCACAATTTCTCTTGACCGAAGATAATCAAAGATCAAAATGAATTTACTTGGAAATTCTGAATTATAGTTAGTGGAAAAAGTTAAAAGTTTGTTAATTTTTTCTACTAATTCAAAATTAAAACCACTAATTTTGACGGTATGAATGCTTATCATTGAAATTAGAGGAACAAACTTCTACACTAACTAAAACCACTAATTATTTCCAGTAATTTTGATGATCTGACTGAAGCTTTAGATTAATATTAGTAACATATTCTACAGTTAAATTAAACTTCATAATATTTTGGATTAATCAATTTGATTCGCACTGTATAAAAGAAACAGTTTTTGACTCAAAATTATAGGATTATTACAGGATAAATCAATTTAGACAAATCTATTTTAATATTAAATTAGGTACATGACCTAAAATGTGTTCTCAACCATTGTTTTGGTTAAAAATAGACACAGCTTTGTCTATCATGCGTACATAACCATATCAATAACAAAAATAACGACAACATGTTGGAACAAAGCAATATGTGACCAATCTGCCTTACTTACTTGAACTATTTGCACAGCCTTCTACGCCAGATTTTTTTAAAGAACTCAAAAAACCGCTCATTTGACACTCGGGTCGCTTACATATCTGACACTGTCATCCCTGCTGAAAGCGCACTGAAAATAGGACTGAAAGCAGGACGATACGATGACGTACAGCGGCAACTATGACCGATATATAGGGTGCTTAACGTCAGTGAAATAAAAGGGAATCGCAGTAGGGCTGAGTCGTTATACTACTTATTAAAGGATTTCGATATGGGTGGTCGATATTTGATAATGTAGGGATGGGGGGTACAAAACGGTTAAATATCGATATTAAGCAGAACTATACAGGGTTGTTCACCACATACGACACGGAGTATTGTAGCTAAACGATGAGATTTTTACAAATTGTAAGTTTTGGGTTCGATGAAGGACTATTAGAGGTACAATTTAAAAATAATTTTACAAGATACAGAGTGTCCCAAATAAGTAAAAAATATCAAAGTTGTATTTTTTTAAATGGAACACCCTGTATATTATTACATTTTTAGTTTCTACGATTAAAATAAAGGTAAATTTGATTAAGGTTTATTATACTTAAACCTTACCGTTTTTGAAATATTTTCAATGTTGTGAAATTGCAGTAAAAATTTTAAGGCTTCATTTCTCCAAGGGTATCAAAGTTTTTAATACTAAATATTTACTGAAGTTTATTTATTGATCAGTTATTTTGTTGCAATAATAAAAATAATACTACCTTATACAGAGTGCCTAAAAATTAATTTTAAATAATTATTAGCTTCAAACGGCAATAACTTGTTTAATTTAAACGGAACACCTTGTATATTTTACGAGAATCAGATGCACAATTTAATTGTCTATCAAATTATATTATACCATTTTTTACCTATCTCTTTAAGTTTCCATAGAAAATGCATTTTCTTGTAATTTAGAACTTATTTATCAATATACCCATGGAATATTGACATTTTAGATTATTTTTAAAGATGTACCAAATTTTTAAAGAGTACAGATACTAAAATTGTCGATATAATTTGTTTATTTTATTAAAAAATAAAAAAAAAATGTTTAAATATTTGTTAAAGGGGACCAATTAATATGATTCCAGTATTCAAACTATATTAACTGACTGTTTGCGTTGATTAATAATAATTGCTCCAAATACTAAAAAACTGAATTTTGTATGGGTATTAGACAGTGTGATAAAAAGAAACACCTTAAAAATGACATTTCATTTTTTAATAAATACTTATTTATAACAACAGAGACTTTAATTTTGATAACTTATTATTATATTGATTTCTGACTCAAATCCACATTTATTTAGAATAATTTATTAACGAATACAATTAAGTATGTAATTAATTAGTATATGGGCGGAAATAATGGTGTTATATTTAATTAATGGTATACTCTTTTTATAAAGATTTAAATAGTTTTCTTTTTTGCATACAAATGGGCTAAGTAATATTATCGTTTTGCTAAAAACGATAATATTACTAGCCTGTACATTTTGTACATTTGTTGCTTTAAAAACAATCTAAAATGTCAATATTCCATGGGTATATTGATAAATAGGGTATAAATTATAAGAAAATGCATTTTCTACGAAAACTTGAAGGGATAGGTAAAAAATGGTATAATACAATTTGATAAACAATTAAATTGTGCACCTGATTCTCCTAAAATATACAGGGCGTTCCATTTAAATTAAAGAAGTTATTGGCGTTTAAAGCTAGAAATTATTTAAAATAAATTTTTAGACACTCTGTATAAGGTAGTATTATTTTTATTATTGCAACACAATAACTGATCAATAAATAAACTTCAGTAAATATTTAGTATTAAAAACTTTGATACCCTTTGAGAAATGAAGCCTTGAAATTTTTACTGCAATTTCCCAAAATTGAAAATATTTCAAAAACGGTAAGGTTTAAGTATAATAAACCTTAATCAAATTTACCTTTATTTTAATCGTAGAAACTAAAAATGTAATAATATACAGGGTGTTCCATTTAAAAATATACAACTTTGATATTTTTTACTTATTTGGGACACTCTGTATCTTGTCAAATTATTTTTAAATTGTACCTTTAATAGTCCTTCATCGAACCCAAAACTTGAAATTTGTAAAAATATAATCGTTTAGCTACAATACTCCGTGTCGTATGTGGTGAACAACCCTGTATAATAAAATTATATAAGAGTTTCTTGGCCTTGAACTGCTAACATAGAAATTAATTCCACGCTGTGCTCGACATAATGTGGATCAACCTGCTCTCACTACCGGTTTCGGGGCCCTACCCCATCATCAGGTGAGCTTGGGTCGTTTCCACAATATGTCGAGCACAGCGCAGATACGACTTGTCGTAAAGTAGCGGTAAGATATTAAGTCCCGCATCGCGAGATAGCGCATAGCGGCCTGCGTGCAATGGTAGTACTTTCGTACCACCGCGGCACAACTATCGATAGTAAATAAAGGCTTTTTTCGGCTAGCCCAAATTTTTATACATGTTTTATACAGGTACGGACGAAAAGTTATTACTCTTCAAAACAGTTAAAACGCATGTAGGCAGCGCGCCCTGCAAATAGGAGTCATATTGACATCAAAATCAAATTTCTCATGTCAAGAATCTCCCAGACACCAATTTTCATCAAAATATTGACGTTACTTCAAAAATTATTTGGAAAAGATCGAAATAAAAATGAAACTTCTACACCCTGTATCTCCGAATCTAAGCGTTTTAGGACATACATTTATACGAACTTTTTTACTTATTTTTATGTGCAGAATATGCTGCCGAAATTTTCGAAATACAGTTCGGACCACACTGTATATTGGCAAGAGTTTCTATATAAAGCCTGTCTATTCGTTGTTTTGTTAGAGTTTCTTTTATTGCTTTAGGACATATCGAGTCGAAGTTCATATTCTGTTAAATATGCAGAACACGTATAATATTGTCACAAAATTTGTACTAAAAATCGAAATGTAAAGTTTTCTATATTTTTTTTTGCAGAAAAAACCTTCATGCGATTCTTTTCCTCGTTGAAATACTTAGTTAACGGACACCCTGTAAATGTTCCCCTCCCTATATACCTCCTTATCGCCCCCAACCAGTCCCTATTGATTTTTTCCTTATCTTCCCCCACTCTTTCTAAAGTTACGCTCACCGAAACTGTGGAGCATCCTGTCGATGACGTCACAGCGGACCTGCTGCCGGCGCCTGAGGGCGTCGCGACGCTTCAGTTGGCGCGCCAGGACGCTGCCGGCGCGTTGGACGTGGACGCGCAGGCAGGACAGGATTGCCAAGAGTTCGTGGGTGTCTATAAAGAGCACAGAAAATTAAATTAATTTAAACCTTTTTATTTGTTGTTTTTCTGATGAATTATTGATTATTTTTCTTATTATTTATTACACTGTGTGGGTGCATTGGAACATCGGACATAGGAAATCCCTTTTAAATTTTGAAAATGTCAAATATTACCTCTCCAGAAGTATTTCTTTGCGACTGCTTTCTTTTATATTTTTGACAACCCTGTATACGCATCCTCAACCAGTAAGGGGTCATACATCATACCGGGTGCATCTCAAAAGTGGCTCACCCTTATAACTTTTTTATTTTTTTAGATAAAAAAATGAGATTTGGTATATTAGTATATGACATAAATTAGGATTGATCATTGCCTGGAAACTTATATGGTGAAATTTTGATAAAATAATTTAGTACTCACTAAAAACACGGTATGTCGCTAGTGGTAGGAAAAATAATTTTTAGAGGTTACTAGTTTATTTGGTTGCCTGTGATATGCATATATAGGGTGTTTCCTAATTAATCTAAAAAATAAAAAATCGTTAGAAAACGGCTTAAGGCGGGCTCTTAATAAGTATATTTATTTTTTTCTCGGCAACCGTTTGATGAACAAGAAAAACTCAAAAGATCAATTTTGTTGAAAAAGGATGGTCAGTCAAGAAAAAAATATATTTTCTTTAAAAAAGCAGTAGTGTACCATTTATTTTAAGCAAAATATCGATTTTTTTTAAATTTTTAACACCCTGTAGATCAGAATGGAAGTACTTTATGCCCAATGTACCAATGGTTATATAAAAATTGTTTTAAGAACATATGAGGAATCACACCACAATTTTTTAGACTAATTAGAAAACACCCTGCATATTGTCAACTTGACAATTGATTGCTGATAAATCAAAAAATACCTTTTCTGTGAAAAAAGCCTGATTTTCGCAGGAAAAATTTTGGTTTTTATTGAATTTGGGTCTGCGTCTGCAAATACCGGTATGTTTTTTAATATTCTATCTATCTAAATTTTAAATATCATAGTCAGAAATAGTTTTATTATTTATTAACTGTAAAAATGGCATACTTATAAGTTTTATCAAATATTGTGATTTACTTTCTACCTTGTAGTCAAAATTTATATTTAATAAACTGTAAAATATATATATTCTTATGTTTTATTAAAGTTACTCTGATATACTAATATATCAGTGTAACTTTAAAACTAAATCCTTTGAAATCAAATATAAACATAAAAAATATTTACAGCAGAAAAGGCGAAGGCGCTGGGTTAAACGTAGTCTCTACTAAGAACACGGAGGGGCGCTTTGACCCAAAATTTTACTATGTATTAAGTTTCATATCTATCTTAATAGAAGATTATTTTCTTTTATCTATGACCTGCTGAAGTAGCAATATTAACCTTTCTCATGCAGATCCACTACTTCTAGCCATACGCTTCTCTGGCTTTTTCCAGACGTCGAATAGTAATCTGTGGTACCGTTATTTGCGTTGTTGTATATTTCCACAAGAAGTTCATCCAATAGTGCACTAGCTCTCCTTTTTTCTTGTTCCGGATTTGGTGTTCTGATAGCCTCGTCAAATGAAAGCGTTCTTTTAGGTTTAATAGGCGTCCTACCAATGAAAAATAAACGAAAAATTATATTTTAGATCAGATAGATATTTACTATGAATAGATTATTTTTAATGCTATCAATAAAATAAAAAAAATGGCGCCGGGAGGCAAGGATACTATAGAGATAAGGATAGTTCGATTCCTATCTTCCTGCACTGTCAGTTTTTTTACGTCATCTGATGACCGAGTTGAAGTTGGCGCTAAAGATTTTAAACAGTGACAGTTATTTTTGCATTTGACGGACGAGCGCACAGTGCGTTTCAAGATAAATTTAGCGGGACAAAAGCGTTTGGTTAGAAATAAGTCAAAAAATGTGTACTGTAAGAATAAATAGTAGACATTCCAATTGATATAAAAATGCATGAATATTCTTTGTATTTCGATACATTTTTATCAACCAAATTTGGTCGTTTTCTGCTCAGCAACGCAGAGATCATACGAAAACAAAATATTTACAAGTGCTTATACATTTTATTCCAAAGCCAAATTATGTTGAAGATTGCCAAAGGTATGTACTTTTCTACTGTACGTATATTATTTGTTAAAATCCTTCGTGCCTTTGTTCTGCAGATATCAAACTTTCACTTTTTTCAAATATCGATATATTGAATGATGTAGATCTTTTGAGTTACCAATAGTTACCAACACAGGTAGTCACAGTCACAGGGAGTTCAAGCTGAACAGGTGAATGCCCAAAAAGTTTCATTTCAATCGGATAGTATAAAAACAAAACGACTCCATCAAAAGGCACTGAGTTTAAAAAATTGTCTTAGATACTTACTATATATGAATTTACAATTACCGAGTGTTAAAATTAAAATTAAAATATCTATCTTATTTATTATTTTCAAAATAAAATATGTTTTTTTAAAATAAATTATAGAGGGTGCCACAAGATTACAAATTAATTAAAAAAAACTGCTAAAGAGTTTTTTGATATCATAATTTTATGTATTTGGCAATAGTTTACAATACGGTTTTTGTGTGTCATGTACGAATAATATCATAGTTTTATTATCTTGTATTTATTTATTAATAAATTAAGTTGTTAATAAACAAATAAATTTAACCATATAGTTGCTATATATTATACCATTTGCTACGTTCTTAGATTTTAAGTCCCAAACATTGCTCTTGAGATTTTGTCCCGCTAGAATAACCATCTGCCGCACTGTAGACCGCTGGTCAGCGCGTGACGTAGCATTCCACGGCGACTACGACAGCGGCGATTTGACGCGATCGAACAGTCCATATACAGTCCTTGGGTAGGCAGTTCTTTTAGTTTCAAAGTAAAGGAATTTTTCCATTTTTTTTTATCTCAAAAACTGCGAGTTTGACTGATTTTGATGTTATTACAAATTTTGTTGCAAATATTATTCCTAATCTTAAATTGAAAACCGCCTTTCGCTAGCTACTGTAATTTAGGAGTTACGATTGTTTAAAATTTTTAACCCCCTCCCATACCCCCTTACCAACCCTCCACCCCCACCAAAAACTAATGGCCATTGAATTCTCAGATACTCGGGTGCCACAGTATTTTTTTGCCAAATTTGGTTAAAATCGGTTTAGCGGTTTTTGAGTTATCGTGTTACAGACGGACAGACGGACAGACGGACAGACACCATGAAAATATTTTGTATTTAGGATTTTTGACCCAAATAACTCATTTTGAGTGAAATTAAAAAAACTTTTTTTTTGCCGATCTTAATAGCCTACGACACCTATTGGTATGGTCGGTTAAAAATCAGTATCACGATCTTTGACATATAAAGCAGATGAAAAACAGCTGCCAATGCAATAAGTAACGATATTAAGTTGCAAGTTTTTGAGAAAAATCCACACACATCTGATGAATAATTTTGATGCATTAAAGACATTTATACCTAATAACATTCTTACTTCTTTTACTTTTATTTGACATACCTGTTTGTTTCCTTATCCCAAACATCCACATAGTACTCCACTTGCTTCAGGTTGGTGTTCTCCAGTTCCGGTACCATAGGAGCATTAACGAAACTGATCACTAAACTGCCAAACATTTCTTTTTGACAGTGTTCCAACTGTTCTATTCTACGGTACGACATTTGAGCATTATAGTACGACTTGCTAATTAAATATGCGTATTTTATTTTTGTTTTAGTTGTTTTTAAAGGGAGATAAAGAGTATCCGTTAGCGATAGGTTCGTTACATACAGGGTGGTCAATGTTAGAATGTATAACATGCATATTAATATTTATTCTGTTTCATAATCTACTAATAAAAAATATATACTTTATTCGTTCATTTCACTAGTCCAAAAAAGTAGCAAAATAAGAGTTTTATGTAAAACTGGCTAAGTATTTTTACACAAATGAAGAAGGAAATTAAAGATAAAGGATTATACTACGAGCCTTAACAACTATATGTTGGGGCAAGGTCATATTTTGGAATTATTGCCCTGGTTTTTCAAAATAACTGAAAAATATATGTTTAATTTTTTAAATATAAACATAGCCATATATCTTAAACAACTTGACAATATTTTTATGAATTTGTAAATCAATCCATATTTACAGTAGCGGATTTTGTTCATAAAAGGACAAATTTGCTGACAACTAAATGTTGGGGACAAGTATTTTTAAATAATTAATATCATCATAGGCGGCTTTGCTATAAAAGTCACAAATGTCGCAAACTGTTTACTTCAGCATTGACAGCTTGTAAGTGACTCGATACTTTGAGTAGTGAGATTTACTGTAAGTAATTTTAATTTTTTTAAATTTCAATTTTGTTAATTTAATTCAAAGTAATGGTCCGTGGAAAAGTTACAAATAAAAAACTACGCGAGATTATCATTCGTTATACAGTACGGGAAAAACAATTCGAAAAATTTGTGATGATTTAAGTATTCCAAAAAGCACGGTCTTTAATATAATAAAAAAAATACGGCGAATCTGCCAATGTAGACGTTAGAGGTAAAAGTTCGGGAAGGCCAAAAGTTGTATCTCAGAGAGATTTACGAAATTTAGTAAAAATGCCAGAAGAAGTACTCTTCGCGAAGTAACAGTTAAATGGAATACTGTACCTGGTTTAAATATATCAAGAAAATGTTGCCGAAAATACATCCATAAATACGGTCTGGGGTTTTACAAGGTAAACTTTATTTTGTGTGGATAATCAATTACCTGAAGATTATTGATACAAATTCTTATTTAGGCAAAAGAAAAACCGCTACTGACAGAAATTCAAAAGAAAAATCGCTACAATTGGGCAAAATCTAAATTATCGTGGACACAAAATGATTGGAATAAGGTCATATTTAGCGATGAGTCTAAATTTGATGTTTGCGTTGGAGATCATCGAAAACGAATAATACGAAATAAAGCAGAAGCCTTTCATAAAGATTGCTTAAAGAGGTTAGTTAAATTTCCTAAGGGGATTATGATTTGGGGTTGCATGTCGGCAAGAGGTTTGGGAAAATTAAATTTTATAGATGGCACTGTTAACGCCCAAAAAAATCAACATATACTTGAAACCTCACTTTTGCCTAGTGCTCAAGAATTGTTTCCAAACGAAGACTATATTTTCCGATATTTTCCAACAAGATAGAGCATCGTGCCATTCAGCAAAATCAACTAAAAATTCGTTCGGTAATAATAATATAAAAGTTCTATCCCATCCTGCATGGGTCTGAGTAAGAACAATCTTCGGATTGTCACGGGGTTTTTAACAGGACACTGTCTTCTCAATGAACACCTCAGTAGATTGAAACTAAGAAGAAACGGCGAATGCAGATTCTGTGGGGAAGATGGTGAAACACCAGTACACCTCATCACTGAGTGCGCCGAGACGACAACCATTCGTGCCATGAATTTTGGTACGACTGATATTGGAGATGGAGAACTACCCTCTATAAAACCGTCCCAGATACTGGCTTTTGTCAAAGCCCTGGGATTGTATGATGAGTTATGATTCAAGAAAGGGGGACACAATGGATCTGTAAGGTCGAAGTGATTAACCCCCCTCCCACTCATTCTAAATTCTAAAAAAAAAAATCCCATCCTGCAAGTTAGTCCAGACCTCAATGTTATAGAAACTGTGTGGCATAAAATGAAGCAATATTTAAGAAACCACCCTCCTCAACAAACAATTTTTGATTTGCGGACAAAACTGCAGGAAATTTGGGATAATTTTTCTCCTCAAATGTGCCAATCTTTGGTAAATATAATGCCATTAAGAGTTCAGGCAATTGTTAAGGCGAAAGGTGATGTAACTCCGTATTAAACAAATTTCTTGTTGTGCTGTCCCAATATATAGTTGTCAGCATATTTGGCTTGATTTTGGCAAAATAAGCTATTATCAAAAAGTGATTTGTTTGCAAAGTTATAAAAATATAGTAAAATTGTCTAGATCATATTGTAATGTTTGAATTTATAATAATAAACAAAATAAATTGAGTCGTTTTAACAAATTACTATTGTTATTGCAAAAAAGACTTTGTCCCAACATATAGTTGTTAGGGCTCGTATATCAGTATTGTAGCACATTTTTAGACAACTTCTATATATATTTTATTTGCTATTGGTTTCTTAAATTTATACAGGGCTATCAAAAGTTGCTGATCTATTTTAAGGATATATTTTACATAACAACTTCGTTATTTCAAATGCAACACCCTGTATTTTTTTAAATAAATTGAAGCAGAGTCAAATGCTCTTTCAAACTGTATTAGGGTTTCCTATACCTATCTAGCTCAGATTTTGAATAAAAAGTGATTTTTAAATAAAATTGTAATAATTCCAACAGTTTAAATTAAAATTTTATTTCTTAATTTAGTTGTTCACCTTGTACAGTACTGTGTTTAATACGACCAGTACTGTTTCATTCGTAACCCGACTTTATCGTTGTTAGTACCTTATATACATACATATATACGAAGGTACCATGACCTAGTAGTACTCATGTTTTATTAAAAAATATACCATAAATGAGCCAACTAAAAAAAGTTAATTTATTTTTAGATTAACAACAGTACCGCCGATTTATTTTGAATTAAAATACATTTTGAATACTGTATTTTAATTTTAAATATAATATTTATTAAAAAATAATATATACAGATGCTTGGTTTAAATTTTGAAAAAACTGTATTCTTTTAAGGTATTAATTTTCCATTAACTGGACCAGAACCGTTCGGCTTTCCAAGTGGAAACCAACTTAAAACGGAACTTAAGAACCAGGAAGACTCCATCCGTTAAAGCCGGTTCTCATTAGTCGATTTTATTGATCAATATCATTGAATCTATGTCATTGAAATAAAACAGATTAATGTGAACATTATTTCAAGCATATTGTTCAATGTTTTCGCATTTCTAGAAAACTGGAAGCCATTTCTACTTTTGGTGGACCAATCGTATTGATTCGATGAAATTGAATAGTGCTTGCCCGTGAGAACAAGCTGGAACAAGCGTTCGGTCCACAAAACATCCCCCTTTAGAACTTTTTCTTTAATGGCCATAATCGGGAGTAAAAGACCAACCGCCCGAACAAACACTAGAGGCGCCACCGGTCATGAAGTGGTGTAAAAATTGCGAAAATTTAATCATCTAATTTTGACACAAGGGGTCGCGCTTAACTTTTTTAATTTTAATTCAATATTCATTGTTTTCAAACTATATTATTAGACTTTGTTGTATTTTGTGAATGTATAAATGTTTTCTTAGTATAAAGTTGCATTATAGTAATTTGAATTATATTACATACATATTTAAGATTCAAATATTATGACATATATGTCAGTTGCCGTCTAAAATGTCATCTTGATAACAAAAAGTTTGTTATTGTCAAAAGTAGTTAAAATCATGTTAAAATATTAAAATTTACAAGTTATAATTAGATATTTTATTTTCAACAACAAACACATAATAGTACAGCGTAATGTTGATATGCAGGTCCAAAACAAAAAGTGCCGTTATATTTTTCAGTTTTCGTTGTCAGCCGCGGAAGTTTCAGTGATTTTAGTGTTGTCGGATATTTTTATTTGTGAAATTGACATATTGCGTTTGGATTGCAAAACTAAAAGTGGAAGTTTTATTGCAATGTAACTAAGCGTTTGTCCATTTTATGTTTTACATTTTTTATATCTACGACAAATATACATATATTGAAATTTTATAATTCGTTTTATTTAAAAAATGTTAGATAACAAGCTTGTAATCCTGTAATTGACATAATTGTTATGTAATATATTCCATTTAAATGTAATATATTACTCTACAACTAAAAAAATGTAAATTTAAAAAATATATTAAAAATATATACAGGAATTAATTGAAATTTTTAGAGTGCGAACAAACACGAGAGGGGGGGGGGGCGCTTTATTATTTACTTTCATTTCTTAACATGACAGACGAAGTTCTAAAGGGGGATGTTTTGTGGTTCAGTCGCATCGAAGTGTTTTTCGGTGTGTGTTTCTGTTGAAATAAGTAAATCAAAATGTCGTTTAAATGGAGAGATTTCTATGTTGCAAAATTTCTGGAGTTTCAGGAGATATCAGGCAGAGGAATGTTTATGGAATTCCAAATTTGAAAATTATAAAAATATAACGACGCTACGGGAAAAAATTTATGAAAATATTCATGTTGGAATGGACATAGAATCTTTAACTTTAACCGATGTTAAAAACAAAATCAAAAGTAAAATTAAATGTTCACACATCATACGAACGCCAGCACGCACAATTTTCTTCTTGGCAACCATTTTTAAAACTAGATTGAATGTTCAATATTCTTGAATCATGTGGACGAATTTTCCATTTATTTCTATGTCCAATGATGTATGGATTCAATGATATTGATCAATAAAATCGATTAATGAGAACACGCCTTTAGCTTGAATGGAAATCATCCAATGGTTTAAGACACTCGAAGAAATTTCTCAGAACTTCCGACCGAAAAAAATCAAAAATTTTTCTATATTTAAGTACGAACAATCTTCACATTGTCACGAGATCTCCTCAATGAACATCTAAGTAGATCGAAGCTAAGAAACAACGGTTTATTTGATATTTTTTCAGATATTTTCCTTTCAGTGTGACAATTTCAGGATCCATGACACTGAAAATGCCCGATAAAAACAACGATGATCTAGACTGCCGCACCTCCTGATTGAAATGCAAGATTTAACGAAGATATTAAAGGACATTGACGACAAAAAGTTCCCTGAGTCATGCAGGTACTCATAAGAAGTCTGCACAAATTGGTTCATTAAATTCAGATGGTCAATATTTCAATATCTTTGAATCATTCTTGTATTACATCATCATCTGGATATTTTAGTAGGTATAGCACTAACTTTTAATCATAACTTTTAATCGAATTAAGTTTTAATCATCTACTGATAGTGCTAACATGGTTAGCGAAAGATGGTGAATTAGTGTTTTATTTTGATAATTATTTTTATTAGTAAAAATAAGTTGTAAGATACAGTTCATGATTAATTATAAAAAATATTAATATAGTTTTTGTTTTTCTGAAATTTGATTATTATAGAAAAAAAAGAACATCCAAAAAAAAAACGAATTAACAATAACTTTCAATGCTTATTAAACATAATATTAATTATGTTTAACTTTCATAATAACAATAAGTTACTAACCTTTGATTTAACAATATTATTTTCATAACTTGGGTGCTTCTTATATATATTTTTGAAAGTTAACAAGAACGTTAAAAAATATGATAACTGACAGGTGACAGTATACGTAAGGGGATTATTCTGTCAGTTGTATACAGAGCGATTACAAAAATTTAGTTATAAAAACAATTATTTTTTAAAGAAAATAAAGACTTATCTATACTAATATAATATATAAAATCCATAAGTGACTGACTCACTGATTAATCACGATCCTGCTCAAACCACTCAACGTAAGAAGCTCAATTTTGGCATACAGGTTGATTCTAGGGTGTAGAGGTTCGATAAGAAGGGATTTTTCGAAATTCCAGTTCCAAAGGGGTGAAACCACCCCTCAAATATTACAATATTATTTATTTAAAAAACGCTTAAACACGTTTATTTTATTTTGTTTTTTAACATATTCTAAGATTTTTAAAAAATGTATAGAGGGTGTTTCGAAAAATCTGGTCATTGATTAATCACGATCCGGCTTAAAGCGCTTGACGTAAAAAGCTGATTTTTGGAAAACGGATTGACTTTAGGGTGTAGAGGTTCGATAAGAAGGGATTTTTCGAAACTCGAATTCTAAGAGGGTGAAACCACCCCTCAAATTTTAGAATATTTTTTATTCAAAAACCGGTGAGTTTTTCGGAAAAACTCTTAAACACGTATATTTTATTTTGTTGTTTTACATATTTTAAGATTTTTTAAAAAATCATACAGGGTGTTCCAAAAACTTGGGTAATTGATTAACCACGATTCTGCTGAAACTGCTTGACGTAAAAAGCTTATTTTTGACAAACGGATTTTTCGAAAGTCAAATTCCAACGAGATGAAACTACCCCTCAAATATTACCAAGTTGTATAATAATATCGCCATATTGTTTTTTCTCATGCTGACATAAATGTGAGAAAATTTTATCCAGTTTGTATGTTAATGGAAATTCTTGCTTTGCTTTATCATCACAATTACAAATGATTAATTCGACGCGAACGAAGTCGCGGGTACACGCTAGTAGGTTTATAAAATAACACTAGGCCATACCCTACTAGCCATACCTACAAGCCTTATTAGTTCTTATTATAAAAACTCTCGCCAATATACAGTGGTGGCCAAAAGTATGGAAACTTTTTACTTTTTAAAATATCACAGAAAATATTGCTATGCTTAAACTCTCAGAAATATAAATGAACAGCTTATCAGCAAATAAAAGTATTCCAAAAATTACACAGGTAAAAAAGTCTGTTTAGCAGTTTTTGTAGGAGAACAATAGATTTCTTGTGGCCAAAAGTATGGAAACCATAAATAAATACATTAAAATTATTTAGTTTAAGCTGATAAACAGTACGATTTGCTTCAGATAAATATAAACATCATGCCCAAGTCTAAATATTTCTCTACGGATTTAAAAAATAAAATAGTTGAATTATACAAGAGCGGTTATAAACAAATTCAAATAAGTAAAAATTTAAACATTTTAAGAAGCACCGTTTCGAAAATAATTCGTAAATTTAATAAAACAGGGAACGTTTCAACAGCTTTTAAGTCAGGAAGACCAAGAAAGTTGTGCAACAGGACAATGAAAGTAATGAAGAGAATATCAATGGGAGATCCAAGAAAAACATCCACAGACATTTCTCGAGAAATGGGTGAAAGGGGAATATCGGTGTCTGCACGCACGGTGAGAAGAAGGTTGGATGACATGGGACTTTTTGGAAGAGTTGCGGTGAAGAAACCACTAATATCAAAAAAAAATAGGATGGCTTTAAATTTGCTCAAGATCATCTCACCTGGTCTTATCAGAAATGGAATACTGTACTGTTTAGCGACGAAAGCAAGTTTCAACTGTTTGGTAGTGACGGGAGACGTTATGTCCGAAGTCCAAAAGGTAAACGGTACAGCCATAAGTACCAGATGCCCACAGTAAAACATGGGGGTGGGAGTATAATGGTATGGGGGTGTTTTTTTCTCGCTCAGGTGTTGGTCCTCTTGTTAAAATTGATGGGAAAATGGACCGTTTTTTGTACAAAGACATATTGGAGAATAATATGCTGCCTCATGCTGATGAAGAAATGCCACTCAGATGGTTGTTCCAGCAAGACAATGATCCCAAGCACAAATCTCGGTTTGTTCAAAATTGGTTAAATGAACATAATGTTCCACTAATGGATTGGCCCTCACAGTCTCCCGATCTTAACCCCATAGAAAAATTTTGGGACTATTTGGATAGCAAAATTCGAAGCCATTCTACTTCAAATAAAAATGAATTATGAGAAGTGCTAAAAACTGAATGGGCTGCCATTTCCAGTAAAGATTGTACGAGATTGATCGATTCGATGCCACGAAGAAGTAGAGAAGTAATTAATTCAAAGGGATATTCCACTAAATATTAGTAATTTTTATATTATCTTGAATTTTAATAAACATTCTTCTTAAGTTTCCATACTTTTGACCAAGAAAATATTCATAATGTTTTATATATTTTTGATAGCTGTAATTTTTTATTTAAATGTATTAGGTTTTGTAGGAAATTATTTGTAGGTCACGATTATATAAGTCGTTTTATTTCATATTTTAATTTCTCAGCATAAATGACAAATTAAAAAAGTTTCCATACTTTTGGCCACCACTGTATACAAAGAAGCCAGAGCAACAGTATACAGGGTGTCCCAGAAATAAATGCAAGTATTTTAAACGGTGGTAGATCTCGATAAAGGAAACATATTTTCTCCAAAATAACGGAGTTATTTTACTTTGAAAATTTCTAAAAAAATGACATTTTGCTTAAAATTTTGAAAACCACTGGATCTTTTCTGGGGTTTCTTTCTTGTAAATGTAATTTACTACATATGTAGCCATATTATCAAGAAATTATGTTTTTTAACTAACAACTAAAAAAAATCCGAATTTTTCAAAAAAAAAATTCGCGAAAAAAACCTCATAGGCGTGTTCTGGTGTTGAACTATACTACCAGTTAAGGTACTTGCACTTATTTCTGGGACACCTTGTATATTGGACAACTAATACACAGAAATCAAGCGAAGAATTAAGTTAGCATGGAGTACTTATGGAAGAGCTCAAAATGTGAATAATGATGAAAAAAAATAAAAAAAATAAAAACACTAGAAATTAATTTTTATCACTTTATTAATATATCCATATAACACTATACAGTATGCTCGTTAATATATTTAACTTGATATTATAAATATTTTTTAAGCAAAACTACACAACCTTTTTGTATTATTATTATTATTATGTCCCCATATTATCAACATAACAATTAAATAAAAACACTTATTGGCTATAAAGTTAAAACCACTAAACAGAATATTTCTATTGTTTAAATTATAACAAAAATAAAGCATTTGGTGATAAATGTTTCAGTATGCAACAATTTAGGTTAAACATATTTTTATTGTTCATGTATGTAGATACTTAATTTCTGTTAAAAATTTTACTAATTTGCTAGGTGTAATCTTACCTATAAAAGAAGGAAATATACAGGGTGGCCCATTGTTTCAAATAAACTCGTCAGATTTTCTATTAGACAATTTTATACCTACCAATCTTTTTTTGTAAAATATGCAGGCAATAGTAGAACGTTTAAAATATTTTCAAACATATACAGGGTGATAATGGGGTGATGAGTTTAATAATTTTTGCTTGTTACACCATATTTCACTGAAATCGCGAACTTAATAAAAATATATATCATGCACTATACATAGGGTTTGTGTGCGAATTTCTAACATCTTACTAGAAAGATATATACCAAATTTTCTCGTATACAGGGTTGTTCACCACATACGACACGGAGTATTGTGGCTAAACGATGATATTTTTACAAATTGTAAGTTTGGGGTTCGTTGAAGGACTATTAGAGCTACAATTTAAAAATATTTTACAAGATACAGAGTGTCCCAAATAAGTAAAAAATATCAAAGTTGTATTTTTTTAAATGGAACACCCTGTATATTATTACATTTTTAGTTTCTACGATTAAAATAAAGGTAAATTTGATTAAGGTTTATTATACTTAAACCTTACCGTTTTTGAAATATTTTTAATTTTGTGAAATTGCAGTAAAATTTTAAAGCTTCATTTCTCCAAGGGTATCAAGTTTTTAATACTAAATATTTAATGAAGTTTATTTATTGATCAGTTATTGTGTTGCAATAATAAAAATAATACTACCTTATACAGAGTGTCTAAAAATTTATTTTAAATAATTATTAGCTTCAAACGGCAATAACTTGTTTAATTTAAACGGAACACCCTGTATATTTTACGAGAATCAGATGCACAATTTAATTGTCTATCAAATTGTATTATACCATTTTTTTCCTATCCCTTCAAGTTTTCGTAGAAAATGCATTTTCTTTTAATTTAGACCTCATTTATCAATATATCCATGGAATATTGACATTTTAGATTGTTTTTAAAGCAACAAATGTACAAAATGTACAGACTAGTAATATTATCGTTTTTAGCAAAACGATAATATTACTAGCCCATTTGTATGCAAAAAGAAAACTATTTAAATCTTTATAAAAGAGTATACCATTAATTAAATATAACACCATTATTTCCGCCCATATACTAATTAATTACATACTTAATTGTGTTCGTTAATAAATTATTATAAATAAATGTGGATTTGAGTCAGAAATCAATATTATATTAAGTTATCAAATTAAAGTCTCTGTTGTTATAAATAAGCATTTATTAAAAAATGAAATATCATTTTTAAGGTGTTACTTTTTATCACACTGTCTAATGCCCATACAAAATTCAGTTTTTTAGTATTTGGAGCAATTATTATTAATCAACGCAAATAGTCTGTTAATGTAGTTTGAATACTGGAATCATATTAATTGATCCTCTTTAATAAATATTTAAACAATTTTTCTTATTTTTTAATGAAATAAACTAATTATATCGACAATATTAGTATCTGTACTCTTTAAAAATTTGGTTCATCTTTAAAAATAATCTAAAATGTCAATAGTCCATGGGTATATTGATAAATAAGTTCTAAATTACAAGAAAATACATTTTCTACGGAAACTTAAAGAGATAGGAAAAAATGGTATAATATAATTTGATAGACAATTAAATTGTGCATCTGATTCTCGTAAAATATAGAGGGTGTTCCATTTAAATTAAACAAGTTATTGCCGTTTGAAGTTAATAATTATTTAAAATAAATTTTTAGACACTCTGTATAAGGTAGTATTATTATTATTGCAACACAATAACTGATCAGTAAATAAACTTCAGTAAATATTTAGTATTAAAAACTTTGATACCCTTGGAGAAATGAAGCCTTAAAATTTTTACTGCAATTTCACAAATTTGAAAATATTTCAAAAACGGTAAGGTTTAAGTATAATAAACCTTAATCAAATTTGCCTTTATTTTAATCGTAGAAACTAAAAATGTAATAATATACAGGGTGTTCCATTTAAAAAAATACAACTTTGATATTTTTTACTTTTAAACTTTACACTCTGTATCTGGTAAAATTATTTTTAAATTGTACCTCTAATAGTCCTTCATCGAACCCAAAACTTACAATTTGTAAAAATCTCATCGTTTCGCTACAATACTCCGTGTCGTATGTGGTGAACAACCCTATATATTCTACCATATTTAGTTTTATTATTTATTCTTTACATTTTTCTTATCATTAAACTACCTCATGTAAAATCTAATAGTAGTTATTAATAATAGTAATAATATTAAATATTTTCGTTCATACTTACAACTTAAGAAAATTGACATATTAGAACAATATTTTACAATAGGAAATTAATTTTTTTGGACATATTTTTAATGACAAAGCTAATCAGATGAGTACATGCCATTAGCGTCTAGCCAAGAACGAATTTTTTATTACTTCATGCACAGGGTGTTCTATTTCCGTGTGTTTCATGGGGTTTCTCGTTTATGAGTATAGAGATCAAAAATGTCTTAATCTAAAAAATCTTTAGTTAAATAATGCTTTTGTTATCTTGTTTATAGGCATAGTACCCTGTAAAACACGAAAATGAGACACCCTGTACATTAAGTTATTATTTGTTTCTATGCTAGTACTCATCTAACTACCCCACTGTTTAATATACAGGATGCAAATAAATAAGTGCAAAAAAAAACAGCCTTTAATTTTTAAAAAAGCAATCTTCTGAAATTTTTTAGCATTTATTTATTCACACCTTGTAGAATAATTAAAAAAAACTTTATCTAGCTAAAACTTAACGTACTAAACAAAAAAATTCGTTGCTTTTGAAAAAATAATTTTATAAATACATTTTTTGAAGCAAGAAAATATATTTAATATTGTCTTTTGTTTATATACGTCTAACAAGTACAAAATATTAACAAATAAAAAACTTAACAAAACTACTGCACCATAATATGATATATCTTGTAAAATGTTTATTTAAACATAGCTTTTCAACAGACACGGGGAACTCTTAAAATTACAGTTCTACTTAAGTTAATTATTATAACAAAAAGGCATTGCGTATTTTTTGTAAATTCTATCAAATAAAATATTGTAAAATCATATTCAAACGGTTAAAAAAATCGTTTTAAAATTTTTCACTATAATAAAAAAATTACCTAATTAAAATATGTTTATTATTATAATTTGTTATGGGTTATCAATCTAATATACAGGGTGTGTTTTAAATAAGTGCAGGTATATTAGTATACGACAAATCTCTGCAAAAGAAATATATTTACCATTTACAAAATTTTTGTCTTTTAAAATTTAAAACACTAAAAACACTAACAAATAATACGCAATCCTTGCCACAGGCAGTGTATAACAGTGTTTTTTTCACAATTTAAAGGTATTGCTTAGCATATATGTTATTTTTATTTTATTTAAAGCCCGAATATACACACATAAAAAGTAATAAACATGGATTTAGCATTTTTTTATTTTCAGAGAGTAGGTAGCATTCTTTTTTAATCATACGGTATGTTCAAAATGATTGGATATATATAGGAAAACACTAATTTTTTAGTTTCTCAGAAATTTTTATTCTTAATAAAACTTCTGCATGTCATAAGACTGTTATTAAAGTAGTTATACAATGTAAATATGTTGTTTACAACTTTCTCACAACCCTGTATTTAATTACTAACTAATAACGGCATAGTTGAATGAAAACTCAATTGAGCAAAGATTTGAAAAATTAGAGTTTTTTTTCTAAATAGATTTTTATCAAAGGTATGAATTTCCGAAAAAAAATACTAACATATAATTCCAATCATTATAAACACCCTGTATATAACCAGACCAAAAACACTTATTGTTTTTGTTTGATTCTTGAACTTGGAGAAAGTTGTATTCGGTATGTCGATAATGTTTTGTTCATTTTTTTATGTAAACTTGTTTTTCAATCGGATATTGGTTTAATTGTTTTATTCTTAAGTACATCATTGAAATAAACAAATTAAGCCTTCAAAATTACTTAAAAAAATATACGTACATACTTATATTTATTATAAAAATAAAATAATTAACTAATATATACCGTATATTTATATTAATAAAATTGATATGCAATAACAATAATTTAAAATGGCTTTAGAATCAGAGAATAATGTTTTTTATTCTAGTTGGTTGAAACCTAGAAAAACGATAGATATATTTTGCCAAATCGAAGGTTTTGAAAGAATATATTATGAGTAAATATCAGAATTAACCAATATATAATAGATATAGTCAAAATTTATCTTGAGAAAGTATGCGTACATGGACTGGAGTTTGACTATTCTTACAAAAAAAGTTTTTTTTTAATACCCAGGATATGAAACCAACCAACCTTAACTCTTATCGATTTTTTTGTGCACATCTCCTCAAAACTCAACTGAAATCTAATCTAAACACTTTACATTATTCGGTAATACACTTAAACAAAAATAAAACTAACAAAATTTTGGAATTTTGAATTACATGTCACCAAAAATGCCGGCAAAAGTTTTTCTTAAGTTCTTCATGGTATCTTCGCTGTCTTCCGTGATGGATGCCTGTTGACTACCTTGTCTTTGGAACGGTCTGGGTGGTGGATCTGGGAGTCTACCAGTGCTGGGTGCACTGCTGATAGTGCTGGATTGAGAAGCTGCAAAGCAAAACGTTTATATTAGCTGATAATAGACTCAAAATTAGGCAAAGAAAATAAAGTCCTCTTTTGTCAAAGCCCTGAGCCTGTATGATGAGTTATAACTCAATAGATCCCATACAATCTACAGTCTACTATTCCAATTTACCTTGACTATCTCTTCTGCCAACACTGCCTAGCGACGGATGATCAGAAGCACTTTGAGGTGGGGTATCTGAGTGGGTCAGACTGCTGATACTGCTCAGAATACCTCTAGGACCCACCGGAGGAGGTACTGGTTCTTCGCCAGCCGGAGGAGTCCTAGGTCTGCAAATGGCTTGCATTCTGGACACCACCAAGTCAGCGATGTGTCTTCTGTCCTCTTCTTGGGTGTCTCCGAGAAGTGTCAAAGCACTGTCATTGACCTAGAAATGAAACCAGTTGTCAATTTAGGAAGGATGTTTCTTATTGAACTTCAAACGACTCTATATTTACTTCTATGATGTATTCTTTTCCGTCTTTACCCACGACAACTTCAAGAGCACAGATGTCGAGACCATCAAACAGATCTGATACTTCATCTATCCAAGTTTTGTATCTTTCTGGCATAGAAATTTGTTCCAGCATTGCTGAACCTGTGTTGGTTTTCCAACAACCTAAAGAAAATGAGGAGTCAGTCAAAGAGGTTTTATTCGCAAAATAGAATTAAGTAACTCTTTAGATCCATTTCATGTTATGTATAGTGGAGTGCTTTAAGCCCTTATGAGATACAAACCTCGGAATTCATTTACTGTGAACGAATTTTTATAAAAAATTTTGCATTGTATTGTTAATAAGATATATTACAAAGTTTACCCATTTAAATTCGTTGCTTTCACTTTAGTATTTAAATATACACACACATATACAAATGCATACATACAAGATGGCTCCGTTTTCCGGAAAAGCTCTATATCAGGATTCCTATTTGAGATTTTCACTCCAAACCTTTTACAAAATATATGTTTAATAGTAGTTCACATTTCAAAAACATTTTTATAGATATACAGGGTGAGTCAAATATATATGATTTATTTATTCAAGTTTAGTCAATTTGCTATAAAATTCTGGTTCCAAAAATACCTTAATACCATAGAGTATATTAAATGGTCTTTGAATTATGACCACGTCCATGAGAATGTCAATATAGACGTCCAGGAACCTTCGTATGAGAACCTCTAATCGAGACGATCGACTTATTGTAAGGTTATCGCTAAAAAACCGCCGTTTGCCAGCTTTTCAAATTGATAATGAATTGCACTTAAGAACCGTACATTTTAACTAACGGACTACAAGAAGAAGATTAAATGAAGCAAATCTTATGTTAAGAAGGCCTGCTTCGGGACCAGAACTTACTAGATGTGTTGACTAGGCCCAAAAGCAAAGGCATGGTCTTTGGCATGTAAAAATTACGAAAAATGTTAGTGCCTTCTTTAAAACCAAATATTTCCAACAAAAATAAAGTTAATGAGATGAACCAAAAAACAAACCATCGAGAAAGGATGTATCTAGATGATAAAATAATTTTTAAATTTCTTGCTGTTTTAACATATTTCACAGGGTGTTTCAAAGTTTCATAAAAAATATCAACATTTTGTTTTCCCTCGTATAATTAACAGATGGGGAGTTTCATTTTTAATTTAGAAAAAGATACTAAAAAGTCAAATAATTTGGCAACACACTGCTTAAAAAATCATCAAAATCGGCCCATTAAAATAAAATATATTAACCTTTAAAATAGATCAAAGTTTTAAGGTGCCCATTTTTCGTGCCGGTGAATGTATTTCAAAAACTATACATTTTAGTCATATACTTTTCTAATAAAACAAACCTTTATTTTTTTACTAGAATCCAAAAAACAAATAATATATAGGGTGTTCCCTTACAAAAAACATAACTTTGATGTGTAACTTTTTTTGGGGACACCCTGTAGAACTCTACATAAGTTTAGAAAATACTTTAAATTGACTTACCTAAGCTCAGAAAATTTCACTTCAATGTAAACTTTTGTTCTCCTTGCAAAAACCGCGTCGTATCTGACGCGCCACCCTGTATAATTCGATTTCAATCAAAATTTTAATGATTAGAATATAAGAAGAGTAGGTATAGCTTACGCATTAGATTTATTTATTTCAATAAATTTACTTAGAAAAAGAATTAAAAAAATCAAAATATTAAGAAGGAAATAATTAAGAATTTACTAAAATTACTAAAATAAAAAATTAAAAGCAACGAAAAAAAATGGGTAAACATTTTAGTATTTTTTCTATAAAACACAATACAGAAGGTTTCCCATTAATACATTCACAGTAATTGAATTCCGAGGTAAAAGTCTCTGGGCACTCCACTAGTAATACATTTATGCATTTTTTTCTCTTGAGATTGTTACTATAGTCTGTCCAGCAGAAAAAGAGACAATTTGAACAGACCACATCCAAAAATTGATGGAAAAACAATTTACTTTTACATTAAAATGACAGATAGCAACTGTAAAGAATAAAAAATGGTAGAAATTTAATTTTTTAAATAAATCAGTGACAAAAAAGTTTTCATGCTTATAGATACAAACCAGAGATGGATTTCCTCATGAACGCTTTGTAGTTAGTTCCGATTTTTTGCACGTGGATGTCGTACTTAGAATCTATGTACGGTTCAACGGTACAATAAGTGTTAGCTACAGCTACTACACTAGCTATATCCTAAAAAACACAAAAATATATTAAAAAAATAAAACTATATTTTTTTTGTTGTTTTTTACCTGAAAATCTATCAAATTTTCCACTTTTACTTTTCCCAAACCACCGTGAGCGTGCCCGATTTTCACAACAACAGGAAATCTGGTAGAACTAATCTGAAATAGAAGAAAATCACGTTTATTTTCAATGAAAATGTCCTAATATACCAGACGTTTCTTAAAATTAACTCACAACTATAACTCCTTTATTTTTTCAGATAAAAAAACGAGATTTGGTATGTTAGTAAATGACATAAATCAGGATTGATTGACGTATTCAATTAGTTTCTGTCACTTCCTGTTTCACCGGAAATGACTACAACTTTTGATTTCTAAATGACCCCGTATGTATTTTTGTACTTTATTTGGTAGAAAATATAGTACTTTGAACGGTCTTAGTTTTTTGTTTATTTCAAAGACGGTATTTTTAAAACACTCTAAATTATTAAAAGTATTCCAAAAATTTCTGTTTTGTAGTAAGAACATATTTTTAGAAATTTGATTTTATTATTCTTTAGTCTAGAGTTTTTGCGAAAAGACTGAATCTGGAATGGCTCCGAATATATAAAATACAATTTTTTTCTTAAAACTTTGATACCCTGTATCTCAAAAACGAAGCATTTTAGAACACATGTTTATAGGAAGAACTTTTTACCTTATAAATACTAGACCCTGTAAAATATTGAACACTTATTCTGAAACACCCTGTATGGGGTCTCTCGTTTATAAATATAGACATACAAAGATGCCGTTTTTTACATCACTGTACTTTTTTATGAAACTAAAAATGCTACAAACAGATTTGTCCTAGTTTTCTTAGTTTTTTTCAAAATTTTATATTTTTTGACACCCCTCGTAACTCGGTTATCCTACAATTTATCGAAAAGGTGAAAACTGAATTCCCTAGAGTTTTTCACATAGAATCCAGTGGCGTAACTAGTTTTTCGCTGGAGCTGTCATTTTGGATACATGAGTAGTATTATGTCTTTTAAAATGAGACACCCTCTATATTATTTTTTATTTTATTTGTCTTATTATGAGCTTTCTGAAAATATTTTATACTCTTTTTAACATGAATCAACCTAGTTTAAAAGAGTTATTTTTTAAATTTATTATTACTTTTATGTCATGATATACTAAGGGCTGTCATGGGTCGAGATTTCCGTATGTAAGAAGAGTACAATGCGTTTATAATGTACTGAACAAAGAGAGGACACTAAACACGTTGCCAAACGTATGAAATAAACCATCAAAACATCTCAACGCGGTCAAACAATCTTTTTTGTACACATGTTTACTTCTGCGTACAGTCGACCGAGCCTTCCTCATCCAGCCTATGTTGTCACGTCTTTAATATTATCAATATTTTTTTTCTTCTTATACACATATATTGAGATATTAATATTACAGACATTATTGCATTTGCGCATGCGCTGCAAGTTCTAGGACGGTTCAGAATCGGTAATAACAAGAACCCGAACAAAGCTAATACCTCTGTCTGCCTCTGTCAGTACTTAAAGTTCTAGGGAAAGGTGTACGTCATGCGTTCAGCTTCACGATTTAATTACGTCTCGTGATACTTAATTCGTTTATTTATTAACGAGTCGTTGTAATTTTCCCTATAGCTTCAATTTTTTTAAATGCAAGCTAGAAACACTGGCATTTTTGGTAAAAATAAGTGGAATTGAGTGGGTATTCGATAGTGGTCGCGCTATTAGAACTCAAAAAGAAATCAAAAATCGATATCTCGAAATCTATTAGAAATAATAGATTGTAGTTTTTTTGAAGAACTTTGTTAATATTTCTGCTGTATTTTTTTGTAGACAGTATGTGAAAATCTTTATCAATAAAAAAATTACACGATTGCTGAAAATTGCTATGCTCTAAAAGTAAATGGATGGATTGTTTACAATTTTTGAATGGAAAAAACAATCTTATCGAATTTTTCTTATGTAAACATATTGTAAAATATCCGATCTTGAAATTATGGCCTGTTAGTAGTTAAAAAGTTGAGTTTTTAAATTATCGCGATTACTGCTTTTTTTTCTCTTTATAAAAAAAAATGACACCCTAACGATGTCCCATGCCGACCCAAAAGTAACAGTTGCCAGCACGGTATTAATAAATTATTGCACCCATAATAAACCTGTGTAAGTATTTAGATTTCCTATCAATCAGAGTTGTTAATATTTTTGATTCACTTATGCAATAATTCTACACACAAAAACTAGCTTGGAATAGCCAATAACCAAAATTTGACGTCGAATAAATGATTTGATTGTTTTGATTACTTAATTTAAATCGGCCGCCTATGTATAAATGTTAAATAATGCATTTCTTGCAAAAAAAATTGTATTGGTGCAGGTAAGAATGAAATACAATAGATATTTATAAAAATCAAATTATCAGGTCAAACCAAAACGACATAAAATAGAATTTTTTTTTAATTCTCTTGTGTACAACTCTAGCGCTAATTTGATTGATTCAACTCATAGCTGGTTCGAAATCTAGTGGGCTCGTTATACCCGAAAACAAATGAAATGTCCGTCACGAGCGAGTTCACTTTCCTAATTAGACCTGTGTCATATTTCGGTGGTATTTGGGACCCATTTGAATGGGGACAATAGAAGGTGGAGCACCCAGGCAGCGTTTTATTGTAATTTTAAAAGACTAAACTTCGATTTATATAGCTTTCGTCGCGTTTTTTGACCGTTGACAATTTAAAAACGACTGGACATTCTTTATTAATGTTTCTGGCAGAAAAATAAACCAATTAGTACAAGAGATGTTACGATTAATCACGATCCTGCTCGAACCACTCAACGTAAGAAGCTCAATTTTGGCATACAGGTTGATTCTAGGGTGTAGAGAGGTTCGATAAGAAGGGATTTTTCGAAATTCCAGTTCCAAGGGGGTAAAACCACCCCTCAAATATTACAATATTTTTTATTTAAAAAATTGTCGAATTTTCGAAAAAACGCTTAAACACGTATATTTTATTTTGTTTTTTACATATTGTAAGATTTTTTAAAAATGTATACAGTGTGTTTGAAAAAATCTGGTCATTGATTAATCACGATCCTGCTTAAAGCGCTTGACGTAAAAAGCTGATTTTTGGAAAACGGATTGGCTTTAGGGTGTAGAGGTTCGATAAGAAGGGATTTTTTCGAAACTCGAATTCTAAGAGGGTGAAAACGCCCCTCAAATATTACAATATTTGTTATTTAAAAAACGGTTAGTCTTTCGGGAAAACGCTGTGACACGCATAATTTATTTTGTTTTTTTACATATAGAAAGTAATTGTTTAACCACGATTCTGCTTAAACTGCTTGACGTAAAAAGCTTATTTTTGGCAAACGGATTTATCGAAAGTTAAATTCCAACGAGATGAAACTACCTCTCAAATATTACCAAGTTATATAATAATATCGCCATATTGTTTTTTCTCATGCTGACAAATGTGAGAAAATTTTATCCAGTTTGTATGTTAATGGAAATTCTTGCTTTGCTTCATCATCACCATTACAAATGATTAATTCGACGCGAACGCAGTTGCGGGTACACGCTAGTAATTCCTATAAATGGTGTGGCTTTGAAGTTTAACACATGAGTGTGTTATAACTTCAAAAACTCACGCGTGTGTTATCATTTATTTTATATGCATGTATACATGTGAGTAGGAGGACCAGAAGAATGGCCCGACGACTGGACACACTCCACCATTGTCACTCTCCACAAGAAAGGGAGCATACATAAGTGCAGCAACTATCGTACAATTTCCCTCATGTCACATGCCAGTAAAGTAATGTTGCAAATTATAAATGAAAGACTGAAAGCTTTTCTAGAAAGAAAATTCCAGCAGAACAAACAGGTTTCACCAAGGGCAGAGGCACTCGGAAACATCTTCTGAATATGCGCCAAATCATAGAGAAAGCAAGTGAATTCAACATCTCTCTTTATATTTGTTTCGTAGGCTATAAAAAAGCTTTCGATAAAGTCAGATGGCACTTGTGGAAAATCTTAAAGGAAGTGGGGGTACCGCAATACCTTATTTCACTTATCATCCAGTTGTATCACCCACTTCAGGATCAGTTAGAATACTGGATTCAGCTTCAAAGGAATTTTCCCTCAATCAAGGAGTCAGACAGGGGTGTATATTGTCTCCTCAACTATTTAACATATACGGAGAATACATAATGAGAAGGTCACTAGAAACATGGGAAGGAGGCATTTCAATAAATGGCCAAAAATAAATAATCTACGCTTTGCAGATGATACAGCACTACTCGCTAGCAGTCAAGAAGAGCTAATCAATTTAGTAAATAGGGTAGAAAACGAAAGCAATCGGCTCGGTCTGGAACTAAATACACAAAAAACCAAAATCATGATAGTTGATAGGCAACATAGCAACCATCCAAATATAAGTCATATCGACCGCTTTGAAGTCGTTAAGTCATACGTATACCTGGGATCAACATATTGACAAATACAGGCACATCGGAAGAAGAGGTGAAGCGTAGGTGCAACATGGCAAAGGTAGCTGTTGGGAGACTGACCAAGATCTGGAAAGACCGCCAGATATCAAGAGTCGTCAAAAACCGGCTAGCCAACTGTTTGGTACTCCCAATATTGACGTATGGCTGCGAATCGTGGACTCTCAGGCAGGCGGAACGTAAGAAGATCAATGCTACCGATATGTATTGTTATAGACGTATGCTCCGTATCCCATGGACTGAACGCCGTACAAACGTTTCCATTATAAATGAACTTAATATTACTAACAGGCTTTCCTGTAAAATCCGTCTAAAACAACTAAAATTTTTTGGACATATAATGAGGAAAAGTCCGGACAATATGGAAAGACTCATAATTCAAGGCAAGGTGGAGGGACGTAGACCACGTGGCCGCTCTCCAACTCGATGGATAGACCAGATCATAGACAAACAGAAAAATTAAAAGACTGCCAGAAGACATACGACGCGCAGGCAAATGTACCTGTAGCGCATCGACGCAAGTGCCGAAATACGTCCATCTAGCTATCTGTGTTTCGACCATAGGTTTCGACACTAGTCCGTTAGTCTTAGCACATTCAGAAAGAACACGCTAACCTCCAGCGTTGTCAATTTGTGGGGAATTCCCCAAATTTTGGGGAATCCGGAGCCGATTGGGAGTTTTGTGGGGATTTTAGCAATAGGGGGCGAATATAAGGGGAGTTTCAACATTTTATTGCTGATTGAAAATGGCGTAAAATTTTTAGCTTTAAAAATGGAGCGGGACGATATATCTTTCCCAACTTAAAAATTATAATCTGCTTTTTACTTGTGCTTCCCTTTGCAAATGCTTCAGTTGAAAGAAAATTTAGTGACCTCAAATTATTTAATGACTACTAGGGAAGGGATTAAAAAACAAGGAGGTAATTTACAGTTTAATCTCTCTAACATATATAATAAATATTGTATTTTTATTAAAATTATTTTTTTTTTGTTAAAATAATCATATGGGGAATTTTTGGTGAATCGGGACATTTTTCTCCCCAAATTGGAGAATTTATTTAGATTTTTGGGTAGTTTAGAAAATTGACATTGGCAACGCCGCTAACCTCATTCTTTTGTTTGTTGTTTGTTCAAAAACCGGCACGCGGCGTAGTACAAGGCTTGATCATTTTTTAAGATATTTTTGATTGTTAATTTTATTTTTGTGCAAACTAAACAGTTGTTTTTTATTAAAAAATAGCAGACAAAGGTAAGAAAGGTAATGTCCATGCAGAAGTTTTTATTTCACAGGCTATTCTTTCTAGAAATTATACCATCCAGCCCTCCTATTTAATTATTAAATAAAAGTGTGAAGGAGATATCAAGGGCTATTCTGTTAAAATATCATCCGGCCAGTCTAGGCCCTGTTGTGAACCAGAAGGTCTGCTAAGTTGGATGTTGGATATAGAATGGAAGGAATATCATGGCCGAGAACAAGGCATAATTGTATGTCCCTTGATGTAGGGGGGTAGGTTTGTTTCTAATAGGTAGTAAAACCAAAAATTCTACTGTGAATCTTCATATTCTAGGCCTGTAAAGATAAATAATTCCTGGAGCCATCTCGAGGTATAGTAAGTACTCAAGTCGGAGCGAATCAATTGGTAGCACGTTGAAATAAAATAATAGCCATCATAAAACTGTAAATATGGATATAACTAGTACAATGTAGCTATTTAACTGTAAGTACAATGTAGCTAGATATTTAGTAGAGTAGGGGTATTATAAATTAACACAAAATACAATAATTGGTCATTGTTTCCATTCCCATTCAATTCTTCCCATTTAATCGTTTTCCCATAAAAAAAGGAAAATTAAAATTAAGAGTGCCCTTAACCAAAAATAGTGAAATAAATGGAGATAGTCAAATTTTATATTAGCGTGTAAGACTTTGAATAAAAAGGTGTAAAAGGATTATAAATGCTGTATTTATATCCTTTAGTATCATGATAATATAAAATTTGAGTAGGTATCTCCATTTATATCACTGTTTTTTTAGGGCACTCTTAGTTTTAATTGCCTTAAAAATAATAAGTATAATAATAATTTAAATCTCCCGCTCTTTCATAGTTCGTACCTGTAGCCATAGAGGGCGCTAAAAGCGCAATCTCCCTTCACCTTTTTGGTTAAGGGCACTCTTAGTTTTAATTGCCTTAAAAATAATAAGTATAATAATAATTTAAATCTCCCGCTCTTTCATAGTTCGTACCTGTAGCCAAGTAGAGGGCGCTAAAAGCGCAATCTCCCAACATTTTACCACGCGATTCACCACTCTCTAAACTATTAACTTTCTCTATGGACCAGATCACGACTAGCTGTAGCAAGCCAATGCACGATGTCATCGAGATGACAAAAGACAGAGGCGCATGGAGAAAAATCATCCATGATGTTACGCTGACCACTACACTCCCTAATGGGGGTCAGGACTGAAGAGAGAGAGATATATGTGAGTATTGTCTGTATAAGTAGCGGCAGTTGGATAAAATAATTAATTGTCCAATATACTATTTTGTGTACTTGTTTCAGATGGGTACCATTTACAACTTAATCAGTGGTGCTTTTTTCATTCCAATTCACTCCCATATCATTACTCTGAGTTCCCGGCGCCTAAAAATCACACAGTACTTTCGGTAGTGGTGGAAAGTACCGGCCGACTTTTTATAACTTTAATCTAAGTCGCGAGTACCGGTGTTTGGTTTGCGTCGCAGTGCGCTGTGTGAATCGTCTGTTTGCAGTCGATCGTCGTTTTTTTTCCGGCGATTTTAGTCAGAAACGCGCGATTTAAACCGGCGCCGCTCTCTAGATCGATACAAAAATCGATATTTGATTTTTGGTTCGGTTTTATTGGTTTTTTTTTTGTCGCTTATGGCAGTTAAATCGTTTTTTTAGAGATTTTTTGATCTTACAGTGAGTTGGAGTGAGTTGTTTCTTAAAAAAAAACAAGGATAAGAAAGTTACAGTAAGTTTCAACAGTTGATTATTACTTGTATTTGATTTTTTTTGATAAAATAATGATTACAGTTAAGGGTTGGAACCTTTGGTGTTACAACAGCAAAATTAAACACTAATTAAGACAATACACCAAAACAATTTATTTTTAAAGTCAGTTTTAATAATGCTGATGATGCTAACATGGTTAGCGAAACGCGCGTTTTGTGTTTAAACGTGAAGTATTTTGGTGTATTCGATAGTGTATTATGGAGAATTAGTGTTTTATTTTGCTATAAAATTATGATTAGAGGTATAATTTTTTCAGTGTATAATTAATTATACACTGAAAAATTAAAAATAATACACTAAAATTATTAAATAAAAAAAACTGAAAGTGTTACTTTTTTATTATTAATATTTTGAGAAAAATGCACTTTTCATAAAAATTTTTGCTTGTTCAAAAATGGAATGCCGTTTATAATTTTCTAAATTTCCATGCCGTTTTAGAGATTATTAGAAAAAAACACCAAAAAAATTCTTAAAACACCAAAATATATGTTAATTAAAATTCTACCAATAATAATCTATCAAAGAATGAAAACGGAATTATATTACCACAGAATTGCTTTTTGGATTTTTAGGACTTTGAAGAAATTAAACCATATTTATTTCTAATTTTCTCTAAAATGGTATGGAAATTTGGAAAAGTATATATAGGATTAATAATTTTAGAACAAGCAAAAACAATTATAAAGAATGTATTTTTCCTCGTATTGTCTATAATAAAAAAGTGTTTCCTCTTGTAAAGACAATCCGGGGACATACTGTATATCGAATACCGTATGAATAGAAAAAAAAACGGCGTCCAGTTGCCTTGGAAATGACGATCGATAACATTTCCCATATAATTTTACATATAAAATGATAGCGATCTTCAATTCATAGCCATCGCCGACGCCGTTTTTTTATAACTAATTATTTATATTTATTATTAGTATTAAAAAAAAATTATCTTAAATAAAATTTTTAAAAAATAGTTTCAATTAAAAAAAAAGCAAAATATTTATTTTTACATATTATGAATGATTAAAAAAAACGGAGTGAATTGGGTAATGTCTACTTTTTCTTACTATGTATGGACCAGTTTGTTTATTTGGTGACCTTCAGGTGAACTCAATATCATCACGTATTCTCATACAGTTTAATTTTTTAAGGAATGTATCGCCCAGCAATTTTATTGAAGCCAATTTTATTTGCTCACATATCTACCACGCATAAAATCAGACGGAAAATAGTAGTCAGTGGCGTACAGATTATTGCAAAAATAATATTTTTTTGGGGTTTGGCACGTCAGTCATAATAACTGGATATTAATTCAAACAAAAATTATTTTTTTTGTTTTTGAATTGTAGAATATAATAAATTATCAGTAATATAGACTAGTATAAAAAGATAGATGAACTACACACACCGGAAAAGTCTAGGGATATTACAATTTTATCCAGCCATCGTCAGTAATTTTATTATTTGCATTTCTGACATAATAAAATTAAAATAAACAAATAGTTTACAGGACGTATTGGAAATAAACATGCGAAATTTACCGATTTTTTCAAATTTACCTTGATTTTTATTGAACTCAAAAAAATACACACATTTTTTTTTATTCTAAACTGTGAATTAAAAAAAAAAGATAAAACCATTTTTACTTAATAAAGGGTATGGCCTCCTCTACTGTTCATTACAGCCCTACATCGTCTCTCCATGCTCCTGATCAGGTTGTCGATCTCTTCTTGAGGTACAGCCTGCCACGCTGCATTCACGGCCCGAATCAGATCCCTACGAGTTTCACGAGGCATACCCATCCTCAAAATTTCTTTTTGGACCGCGTCCCATACGTCCCATGGGGTTGAGGTGAGGAGATTGTGCCGGCCAGGGTAAGATGTTTAATTGATGAGCATTGATAAACTCACTTACCACTCTGGCTGTATGAGGCCGTGCATTGTCATGCATGAGAATGAAGTTTCTCCCAAAATCACTGGCATATGAAATAATAACACGACAGGGTCAAGAATTAAATCACGATATGTGATTCCTGTTAGAAACCTTTCAAGAAAAACGAGATCGGGTTTTCGGCCTAACTGGACTCTCCCCCAGACCATAATTGTTCCACCTTGATAAAGGTGCACTTCCTGAACATGATCCAACCGAATAAGATTTCCAGGTTCTCTCCATACCCTAAGCCTTCTCGAATCCGGATGAATTCCAAAGCGTGACTCATCCGTGAAGAGAACATTGGCCCATTGTTCATTCGACCACTGAACATGATCTTGAGCCCACAAATATCGTACCTCTCGATTTCCTCTCGTTAAGGGTTGAGCTCTCCAGGGGCGTCTGCTTCTTAAGTTGACCTCTCTTAATCTATTGCGAATTGTGTCAGGACTAACGGTTACATTATGTGTTTCCTGGAGAATTAAACTAAGCTCTGGTGCTGTAAGAGTCGGTCGGCGTCGAGCATTTAATTGTAAAAAATGATCTTGCTGAGGGAGTAGTAATGCGATGTCGCCCTGTGTGCCTTTCAGCAACATCACCACTTTCACGGTAGCGTGCACTTAATCGCGATCACAGATCGCGATATTACACTGTGCGTTGTATGTAATGGTTCTGTTTATTTGCATCACCCATCTTTCTGAGAAGAATAATAATGTTGATGGTATTTTTCGTACCTTAAATTCTTTAGGCATAGCCGTAGAATAAGGGTAAAAATAATATTTTATACAATTTGTCGAATATACATATACATATAACCATATTAAATGTATGTTCACAACAATAGCCAGTACCGGTTAAATTCGAAGAATTGATACTAGGTGCTTTTTATACAGTTGACAAAAAATGCACAAACACTTCTGCAAATATCCCAAATTTAGAAATAACTAGTGTGACTACTTCATTTCAATCGAAGTAGAAAGAATCGGCCTACAAATATGTGGATGTTTATTCAAAACAGTTATTTTTAACTTTAATAAAATGATATCCCTAGATTTTTCCGGTGTGTGTATTTAAAAGATAGACATTGATTTGTTTTGATTATCATCATACAGTAGGTTGCTGTACTTCATACAGTATGATGATAATACATGTATTATCATCTTGTTTTTACTTAAACGAAGAAGAATCTTTGATATTTCTCGGTTGAAAGTCCTGAGAAATTTCTTCGAGTGTGTCTTAAACCATTGGGGGATTCCCATTCCAGGTTACAGATGGTGTCTTTCAGGTTCTCGAGTTCGCCTTTAAGTTCCGCTTTAGTCCCCATATCTCACCTTTATGAACGCCACTGAATGTAGGCACCGTACAGACTACAGACCTGACCTAAGCGCATTGGAAATTAAATGCTGACGAGCAGAACGATAAAGAAAATATTTTCATTGATGAAAACGGATTATTTAAATATCTAATACATTATGCAATATTTATTAAGCGATTTAAATTTATACCCATCAGTAAAAAATCTGGATTTTTAAGTGCATTAGATACAATGTGATATAATTAGCTAAAAGTTGTTTGCTATGTTAGATAAGATTAGGAAGTACATACTTATAAAGACTTTTTTCTATATGATTAACTGCATCATATTCTCTTGAATCATAGCTCATTTTTAAAATGATGCATTTATTATCATACCTTGAAAATTTTCTTATTAAAATAATTATTTTATTACCTTTTTTAACTCTTAATTGCTGGATATATTCTAAAAAATTATTTTTTTAAAGATTTTAAAGCCCTGTCCTACACATAAAGTTTTACCTTAAATTTTGCTGGTGAATTAAAACGGAAGACCGTCTAGAGAATTAACGGCAGTTTTTTAGAGGTTCAGGTTTGCTTAAGGACGTTTTTTAGCTTAAAGGTTTGCTAGACGGACAACAAAATAATCCTACAAGGGTTCCGTTTTTTCCTTTTGAGGCACGGAACCCTAAAGAGATGGAATTTTACTATAAAACTGTATATTTAAAATCTTATATCTCTAAATAATTTTGTAAAATTACATTATTTAGTGAAACTGTGTGTGTAAATCTCAGGTGTAAATATGTATATCCATATTATTATTTGTAAATTTACTGATATTTTTTGCGTCAACACAAAATAATTTACTTGCTACGTTTTGACTGACAGGTAAAATGTGACGTGTAGACGAAACTTTAGCTCTTAATATCGTCACAGTTAGTTAATATTCGGTGAGATCGTCCTATAATAAAAAATCGGTAAAAAAACTTTTAAGTTAAACGGTTTTATCTTATGTGCACTGAAAACTAGAAAATAATAATAACAATTAGGTATTTTGAACTTCTAGTTCAGAAATATTTTAGTACTAGGCAGAATAGCTTTTAGGCATATTAGACTAAAATAAAAACGTGGGGCCCATTAACTATTGCTGTAATACTTTCTTCTATACTAAGTGTGGATTGCATCGACTTACTATAATCGTAACTGGAGATTTTGACAATCAATAACCAGCCGTGGCGGTTTCACCAGCGAACGCCGAGCTCATGATCTACCAAAGTATAAAGATATGCTTTGCCGTAGGTAGGACTTCAGAGGGGCCCCACGTTTTTATTTTAGTCTAATATGCCTAAAAGCTATTCTACCTAGTACTAAAATATTTCTGAACTAGAAGTTCAAAATACCTAATTGTTATTATTATTTTCTAGTTTTCAGTGCACATAAGATAAAACCGTTTAACTTAAAAGTTTTTTACCGATTTTATATTTTCTAGTTTTTAGTATTTAACGGAAATGCCTACCGAATATTCCTCATTATATTTAATTCATTTAGTGCATCATTATTAGATGGTTTTTTACCTGATAATTTATTACAATCTAATTCCTCAATACATAGCCCTTCCAGAGACTTGACTCGACTTAGAGCTACGTATGCTTGCCCTTCCTCAAACAATTTTGAGCCCAAATACACTACTGCATGGTCGACTGTGCTGCCCTGCATTTTATGTCCCCGCATTTTATGACGGTG